TGTACCGTTTTCAATATGATTTAGGCGAGTTGAGCTCAAAATCCATGCTTGAGCATAAGAATGGTTTCTGGAATACAGGCCAGGAACTTCTTTTATCCTAGAGAAATAATTAGAATGCATTTTATTTTTCCGTAAGTGAAGTATTTAACGCTCAGCAATTTAGTAGTGGGACGACTGGTTCGCCCGTTGTCAGTATAATGTGACCGGATGGGGTGTCCTGCTGGGGGTCTTTGGCAGCATGTTTCAGTGAGGCAGCACTATAAAGTCGGCATCAGTTTCGCGCTATCACAAGGAGACAAGCACGAACATAATCGCAGCCTCCCAAAACACACCGCATACACTACACGCATGCATCTTGCACACAGGGAAGGCCGTCCTTAAATTACGATAGCTGTTGACAGGATATACACAACACTATACCAAACCAAACCAAACGGAAAATTGGTTATGATATATACTTTTAATTGTATATTTATGATTGATATTTAAGATTATATTTATACTTAAGTACCATTGTATTATGAGGTCAATACAGATACATTTACCATCATAAATTAGAAAATTCATTTTCGTGTAAACATTGGAAGCCAGTGCTTTTAAACGTTATCATATATATTACAATTTATTATATGTATTATATATAGGAATATATATAAGCCGGTAAACTTATGGTTTTCCTTATACAAGATTGGTTTTTCCTTGTTTTTCAATTTACTTGTGTTTTATTGCTGTAGTATGCGTTTTACCCATTTCGTCGGGGTTTATTTTCTTGGAAAATGTATCTTATTTAAGTGTTAGTTCTTTGGAGTAGTTCGAAGTGATATTCTGCCAATCTTTTTGTATTTTGTTATCATTAAACAAACTATGTATATACGTACAGTTGAACCAGAGGTCGTTCGCAAGGTAGCTGCATATTTGTTTAAGTTTATTCAAATCTTCAATGACTTAAGGGAAGGTGTCAGCCAACACGAATATAGCTCCCGTGTACGATAACGTGGGCACAGGTATGCTATACATAGAATAGTGCAAGTCCATCTTCATCTTGTTTTAGAAATTGATATGGTAATAAGCTACTAATATCTGCCGGAAACAGATTATACAGCATGGCGGCTATTTGGCCAAACGTCTTGAAGGATTAACTCGGTGGTATTTGACCTTGGCATATTTGAGCAATGGACTGTACGACCTTGCTGTGAGTCAGACGTGAAATAAAATAATCCGTAAAAGAATTTCCAACTCACCTCCGACTTCGTTAGTTAATTGAAATGCGTCCATTGTAATTTCGGTGCATACATGTATGAACAATCTGAAATTAATATATTAATAAGTTGTATTATTTTGCGTCCGGGTGAATTTGAATTTATCATTTGTGAAATAAGTTTAATGCGAAGGTATATAGTGTTGAAATGAATATCTCTTTACCGTCTATTTCTTCAATCCTAAACGCTTAATTTATTATGTCTCTGACAGAAAATCAGACATAATGCATTGGGAAAAAAACATCTAAAAAACATATATAATTATTTTCTTGGAAAATAACATCTTTGTTACACAAATCAAATATATATTGCATTACTTCTCATATACAATATTGCGATAACTATTTGAATATATTACTTAAATTAAATGATTGGTTTATTTCCATGTGACATTTAGACATAACAGATACATTATTTTATCTACGCCAAACAGGTCTTAACTTTTAAGCGTTTTGTTTAAAATCTTTTAAATACAGCGTTATTATAGAAAAATATAAGTTTCTGAAATTGTACATTTTTGTTTATATTCAACTAACGAACTAAACAGTTGTTCCTTCCTATCAAGCCAACACAGCAGGCAGAAATAACCAACGAATACTACTGCCTTGAGTGAATGCGTGTATGACAGGGTATGTTGATCTACTTACCTCCTTGTGTGTTGTGTATGCGTGTATGCGTATATGTTTTCCAATGACAGGGTATGTTGATCTACCTACCGCCTTATGTGTTGTGTATGTTTTCCAGTGACAGGGTATGTTGATCTCCTTGCATCCTTTTGATAACGAGGATCTGATGCCGACTTTATTATAGTACTACCTCACTGAAATACCATGCCGAAGGAACCCAGCACAGCATTCCGCCCGGTCTCATTGTACTGACAACGCGTTAACCAGTTGTTGCCATATTGGTACAAAGGAGGAGATCCAAGCTCTGTCATTATGGTAGGAAGGTGTAGTGCCAAACGGCACGATACGCGCTCGCGGTAGATGTATTAAATTCGTGCGTGGAAATGGTTGCGTTGTGTATCCTTAAACTGATCTTGGCATCGAACCCCTTTACGTTAGCATTGGCTTTAAAATCTGTATTTTGTACACACCTATAATATATATAATTATTTATTCCACTTGTGTGTGTATATATTCGCGCTCATTTTCTCGACGCGGAAATGCGAGTATTGACTTAATCATACATGTGTTATTTGCATGTAATATACAATGTACAAAGGGATTCATCATTGGGCACACATTTAATGAGTAGAAGGTGAAAGGACTGGTTTACCTGTTGTCAGCATAATGTGACTAGGTGAAATGCTGTGATAGGTGTCTTTGGCATGTTCCCCCCCCCCCTCCCCCCAGTGAAGGAGGTATACAAATCTGCCGCATCGCACTGGTAGACACACACACACCTTCCGTCTTTAGGTATTGCAGAGTTATCTTCTCTTGTGAGCAGGTTTTGATTGTTACATCATTGGTTTGTGTGAGAAAATTAAGTCGTTTTCTCAAAAATTGATGACGTTAACCATACTCTCACACACAAATGATGTAACAATCATTCAATACCTGCTCACAAGAGCAGATAACTCTGCAATACGAAAAGACGTAATACACGGAGGCACATCACACTTATATGACCTGTTATTAAGATGCCAAACCCAGGAAACTAAACCAAACCTCGTATATTTGGCATACAGCATGACGTCAGTGTTCATTGTTTATCATCTTGTCGCCCAAACGGCGACTGAAAATGACATTCTTTCCAAATATATCCAAGTTATATAATATTACATAATATAGGACAACTGCCCGCAGTGTCAGGAATGATAAAAATACACAGTATGTTGTGAAAGAAGACATATACTTGTAGGTATCACGTGCCGAATGTTGGCGCTCGCAATTTAAGAGCCTAATTTAAATATTTTTAATTAATTACATTACTACAGTGTTGACTGTTTCCCCCTGTACCATGAGCTTCGTCATGACAAAAGTATAGGTTATTTGTATAAAACGTGAAAGTACAAATAATATAACATATAATATAAACTTTACTTATTTTACAACAATTATGAAACAAGTTCTTTAACTTATATTAATCACTCTTGTTGGCCCGGATGTTAGCGCGTGGGTGGTCTTAGTGTGGGAGGAAACCGGAGTACATGAAGAAAACCCATGTGATAGGGCAGGTGACCCCAACCCAAGTACAAATAGAAACGAAGTGGTCAATCTTCATATTTTATTTACAATTTAATTCCAAACAAAAGTGTCACACTTTTATCTGGTCGTTAACAAATATACAAAACAATTCCTTATCAAGACATCACATCTCAATTGATAAGGAAAAACTTTAGTTTTCCATTATTCCATAGAAGTAATTAATTGATATTCTTATTTACGAATGTAAAAGACTAAACAAAGAACGCAGATGATATATAATCATATTACAACCCTGAAAGGAGTATTTCTAGTATTTATAGATATATTCGGTTTCCAATTTTCCCGGTTTTGGAGGTAGTCTACTTATTTTCACCCTCTTTTTTTAATTTTGAAATAAGAACAGTTTCTTACATTATGACTTAAAGTAAATTTCAATTAATTCATTGCATAGAAAGTTTTATCTGGCTTTCAACATTAAAGATATGCAAAATTTGGATCATTGTACTGTAAGCACTGTTTAGTCTTTTTGAGATATTTTCACAAGGGTTGTTCCCCTTGAAGAACTTGACAGTTTTGCAAATTTGTGAATGCATTTTTAGTGTACATTGACAGCAGTCTCCTAAATGTTCAAAAGTCTTCATATTGCAAACTGGATTTTTTCTTCAAAATTTGCCTTAATCTGGTTTAGTAGAGAGGAAAAGCTTCAAAGTGACTCTGATCAAACTGCATTCATAGCTCCATGAACGCAATATCTTCTGGTAATGCTTATAGAGGAACCTGCAGTGGATATGTAAATATATCGACATGGTATGCAATAAATCGAACAGCATCACCAATTTGAATATTTTAACATTACAAATGGTTTGAAAAAATCAAAGTATAAAAATATCCACAGGCAGATTTTTTTCCCAATTTTACCTTACTTTTTTTCAGGCCACAATCATCATATTTCTCAAACAGTAGGAAAAATATCAATGGGACTTTTTGATGATTAAACTGAACTCTCAAGAACTTTTTTATTTGAGGTAAAAAATATAATTATGAAGAAGCATTGACTAATGCATGCAGTCACTCCAGAGTTATCTCCCCTTCACAATTTGTTGATCTGACCAATTTACTGTTAGTATTTAATGTAAAGACTGACTGTGGATCAATTATACTAGTTAGTAAGAAAATATGTTTTAATTTTCATGCAGATCTAACATCCATTTTATATTAATGCTTTCATCACTGTAGACCATAATGGACTCATCCAGATGAATGTATGGTAGAGTCTACTCAATTTTCAAAGGGGTGAAAGAGTTAATGAAATTCCATATGGATATTGTTGTTGTGTCTGTTTTTATTTAACTCATTCACACTTGAAATTTCATAATGAACTGTTCCAACCTTTGAATCCGAAGAATTCAAATGTGTCTTCAGAGGTGAATGAGTTGACTATAAAATGTTACCTATAACAGTTCAATTGCCTCAATTAGCATGTAAAATTAATTGCTACATATTGGCGACATTATGCATAAATACAAGTTATTTAGTTGTTTTATCCTGTTCTTGTCCACAGAAAGTTGTAACAGAATGAAAACCATTAAAAAATGATTAGACGTTTTAATAAAAAAAAAACGAGCAATTCTTTGTCACCAATCACAAATTTGAGCACATCATTACAAAGAAAATCACCCATTTTACCTAGTTCGTGATTATTTATGGATAACGTACTTCAATCATTTACGAAACCAGTTGATCAAGTTCACTTGCCATATTTCACTTGTGATACTGTATCCTTAAACTTATTGGCTCAATGATGTGTTTACTCTTCACCGGTATGATCCTTAATTGGTCAGGGTTTTTGCCTTCAAAATGGAAACATTAGGGGCCTGTTCGTTTATGCAGAACAACCGATACGTCCACTTTTAAATGTAACATTTTTGAGTATAAATCGCCACGGACCTGCAAATATTGATGCAGGCCTTGAAGGCTTGGTCGAGGCTCGCCTGAAGGCACCATCAGATAACTAGGTTCAACATTATTTAATAAACGAACAACTGTGGTCGGACCTGTTAAACCGATTAAAACGAAAAACGGCCCAGGTATCGTAGGATGAAACTTGAACTACGACAAACACTTCCTGGTATACAGTTTAAAGAACGAGAGGGTCTAGTATCATGGGCAATCGGTATAACCCAGAATCCTATTCAGGTACAGTATATATACAGATATGAATTTCATTGGTAAAATTTGTTTGAGAACATCCTGAACGGTACAGATAATAAGTCACAAACCGTTATTATCCTTTTGAAAACAAAGTCATTGGCTTTTAGAGAGAATTCATTTTATTCAAAAGTGATTCCTTTGAGTTAATTTATCATTTCAAGCACAAGGTCGTTGAGCTGAATTGAGCCATCTAGAGTGAGGGAGAGAAATCTCTCTGCAGCCTTGGCACTGACTGTCCTTAGTGACGGTAACCGTAGTAACATCTTGCCGTATCGTCGTGGGTCGTCGGGATGCGTCTGTGTCATATAGTGACGTAAGACATCCAGCATCTTTGTTTGGTACACGGTGATGCTGGTCTTCTCCTTCAGACCGGCTGCATCTGTAAAACACCAGAATTGACTAATCTTCAGCCATTGTATCATGAGGTCATACGAAGAAGAATTTTATACCGACCCTTTTCCAGGACGTTGAAGCACTCATAATAGACATACAGTAAGTTTAAATTTCATTTTTTCACAACATAAAGGTTATTATTTAAAATCAAGAAATCAAATTGAAATAATTCATATTTACATTGTGTACATGTATATAAGGTCAGCCTAGATTATCATTATGGCTGTGTTACCATTTGAAACAGTATTTAAGACTTGATTGATCCATGACCCCATTCCGTCTTTGCGTATTGCAGAGTTATCTTCTCTTGGGAGCAGGTATTGATTGTAAGGTCATTGGGCTGTGTGAGAAAATAACCTCGTTTTCTCAAAAATTGATGACGTTATTCTCACAAATAAGTGACGTAACAATCAATACCTCCTCCCAAGAGAAGATAACTCTGCAATACGCAAAAACGGAATGGGGCCATTGCCCACGGTATCATGAAATTTTAAAAACATTTTTTATGATCAAACTACAATGTACACACGTCTTTCAATTATAAAATTTCTCTTAATTTTTTATATTTTTTCCCCCCAATTCATTTACAATGCCATTTACACAAAAAAAATGGTTTCACATTCTCATTTGACAACTAGCAGCTTATAACCCCAATTTTCTTTTGAGCCATAGAATTGCATAGGTGTCAACCTCTGAAATCTACAATGAGGGGGATCTCCATCATTTCACATTTCCAATGAATGTTTGAAAGTGTGTGAAATGAGACTGAAGCTGCTTTGCCTAATTTATCTTTCCCCTTTTTATGTATCAAAATAAATCCAAAAAGCATTCATTTAATTCAGACACACCTGTTATGATCATTACCAACACCCTGCAGTAACTAGGAGATAATTTGACCACAGAATGCAGATTTTGAGTTTGTGTGAGTTTCGACTTGAATGAGGGAGTTTCAAGTAGGTTAGTACATTTTTTGTCAAAATGAGGGACTCTCCCTCCTAATGAGGGAGGGTTGCATGACAGCTATGTATAATTGTAGTCTATCGTTATTGATGATGATGCCAGTTTTTCATAGAATGAGTAAAGCCAAGAAGACTAGAATAATAGACCTGTTTATTTTGGACATCAGAAAAAATAACAGAAGTTTTTGTTCATCAATTGATTGTTCTGGACATCAAAAAAAGTCACAAAAAGTTTCTGTTTGGTAAATCAACCAAATACATTTCTTTGGTAAGCAATACATGGGTTACCTGAGTGTATGCGACAGGTAAGTCACCTTGGTATATGTGACAGGTAAGTTACCTGGGTATATGCGACTGGTAAATTACCTTGGTATAGGTGACCGTTTAGTTACCTGGGTAGATGTGTGACAGGTAAGTAACCTGGATAGATGTGACAGGTAAGTTACCTGGGTATATGTGACAGGTTAGTTACCTGGGTAGATGTTACAGGTTAGTTACCTGGGTAGATGTTACAGGTTAGTTACCTGGGTAGATGTGACAGGTAAGTTACCTGGGTAGATGTTACAGGTTAGTTACCTGGATAGATGTGACAGGTAAGTTACCTGGGTAGATGTGACAGGTAAGTTACCTGGGTAGATGCGACAGGTAAGTTACCTGGGTAGATGTTACAGGTTAGTTACATGGGTAGATGTGACAGGTAAGTTACCTGGGTAGATGTGACAGGTAAGTTACCTGGGTACATGTTACAGGTTAGCTACCTGGGTAGATGTGACAGGTAAGTTACCTGGGTAGATGTGACAGGTAAGTTACCTGGGTAGATGTGACAGGTAAGTTACCTGGGTAGATGTGACAGGTAAGTTACCTGGGTAGATGTGACAGGTAAGTTACCTGGGTAGATGTGACAGGTAAGTTACTTGGGTAGATGTGACTGGTAAGTTACCTGGATAGATGTGACAGGTAAGTTACCTGATTAAGTGTTTACCTGGATAAGTAAGAACGATGGCGTTCATGATGTTGAATTCCACTATGTCCATTTCCATCTCCTTGAGTCGTCGACTGAACTCACTGATGGCCGTCACAAGCTCCTTCCCAAACCCCATCCCCTTAGCAACTTCAGCAGGCAGAATGAACCCGTCAGCGAACTTAATAGACTCGTCATAATCAATGGACCTGTAATTAATTCATGTAAAGTTTATGGTTACAAATTTCATTTGGAAAAGCTAAATCTAAGAATATCATCAGGTTTATTGTCTGGACAAAAATACATCTTTTTTTGCTGAATGAAAATTCCTGCACCAATATTTTCTTTTCATTTTCACCCCTGAAACCTTTAAAGTGATTTAACTCATTCACCCCTGAAGACACATTTGAACTCCTCCAATCCAAAGGATGGAATAGTTCATTATGAAATTTCAGGGGTGAATGAGTTAAGGTAAAATTTCTTTGAACAAAATCAAAAGCCCTTACCCTAGCTTGCTACGGGCCAAATAATACAATACAGGTTGTATGGACCCTTTGAAATGTTGTTTGAAGATTTTAACACATTTGATCCATGTGACCGTGAAAGTGGGTTAAGGTAACTTATTTATTAGGTCGTTACATGGGCGTCTAGAATCGCCTTTAAATAATGTACATACTGTGACATTTTCTCATACTACTTTCAAAATTTTACACATTGATCAGTACATATTGTACATATTTCATTAGCCTTCATATTTCATTCTGACCACTGACAGCTTAACCTAATTCTTCTCCTAATGATAAATTTATCATATTACAAGAAAAAGAAAAAATTGATCCAGTATCAGTATTCGTCATATATTAACAGGTAAGTATACATTCACATTTTTGATGTAAAAATAAACTTCTGGATATTCTTGTCCATACTCTATTCTAATTTAATATTATTGTATTACAATCTAGTTCTGATTTCTGGTTAGAGGCACGATGGTGAACAGACTTCGCATAAAAACGTTATTAAATGGTAAATATTAGTATATGTAATGCGTCGTATGGTAGAACATGTTTGTTGATTATATTTTAGGTATTTAATCTATTTTCATAAAAGTCCAGTAGGGTTACTTTTCTTTTCGAAAATGATAAAATAAGTTTTGAATACATAGCTTCAATTTTTGGCAGTGGTACGGGGATTCTTCACCTTTCCTTTGGGGATAGAGACTTGCAAGAGGTATGCAACACACTGTTTTATTATAATATTTTATCTATGAAGCAATATCTTGTGAGTTTGTGAGGGGTATACAGTGTGGGTGAGTAGCACAGTTATGTCCCTTGATGTAGAACTTGTTTTACAATACTTACCCAGTGATCAACCAACAATTTATTTTCATGGGTCTTTTTCAGCTGAATTGCTAAAAACAATGGGTCCCACAATATTAAATTTCAGTATTTCCAGAAATTCTATGAGTTCCATCAAAATTCTATGAGTCCCATCAAAATTCTATGAGTCCCATCAAAATTCTATGAGTATAAGCCTCGGGACTCATATGTAGATATATTAGTGCTTACCTGAAGGAAAGTCGAAGGATGTTCAGTTCCATGAAGGACGATTTCAGGAGAGCCATTTGGTCCTCAATACAAAAATCTTGAAACCCTAGTTACAGAGGAATAAAGAGTGTAGTGAATAATCTTGCCAGGACATTTTATTTTACGAGGCTAAAAATGAAAAATAAAAACAAACAAAAAATCGTTTATTTTTGATGATCTACCTTACATAATTATGTACTTGTGTGATAGAAATGACAACTCTTTTTCCAAAATTAACTTTGATGGAACAATTTAGTGCATTTTCCAATCTGATTCATCCTCAATATCCAGGGGTTATACTCTCTTTCGCTCTCTACACCCCTGGAATATATCATAGCAAAATTGAAGGCTAAGTGTGCACCACCATGTTGATGAGACAAGAAGACTAGTTCGATCCTTTAATGTACATCAAAAGAATCTCACGGTCACGTAACGGTAAAATTTGACACTGGCTTTGAAGTCGGGCGTCTCTCCTTTGTAATCTTCAAAGGACAGGTATCAGCCTATAGCGATTGGTCAGGTTTTATTTTAACAAACAGGTATCTTCGTGCCTTCAATCTTGCTATGACATATTTCAGGGGTGTAGAGAGTGAAAGTGAGCGTAACCCCTGGAATATCGAGGATAAAAAGTTGTGAGTCTACTTTGAAACTATCTCATATAGTGGATAGAATGTATCACTTTACCTTCAAGCTGTTTTGTGTATTACCCAATATAATTAGACAAAACAAATGTGTTGTTTCCACTTTTAAAATGTCTCTAAGTTTAAAGTGGATTAATATGGGTATTAGATATTTGTCATTTTGCAAAAAAATATATTTTTCAAGGTGATAAGAGTATGAATTTTGTTTGCATTTTCATTTAACATTATCAAAAGTGATACTTAAGCTTGATAAACATTAATAAACATTAATAAACCTTGATAAACATTAATAAACCTTGATAAACATTAAAAAACCTTGATAAACATTGATAAACCTGTTTGAGGCACATCTTATCTACATCAGACGAGAGTCATGCTTAACAGTTCTTTACAAAGGTCAAACACATTTAAAATGTACATGTAAATTCACCTACCATTTGTTTAACCTTTTTTATTACATTTTCCAAATACCTGGTCCTTTTTTAGCCCTGTCTTGATAAACTCGAGTTCAGCAAAGCCCACATACCTGGTACTTTCTTTGCCCAGTCGATAATAAACTTGAGTTCAGCATAGCCAAACTGCATCATCTCATTGATTCCCATACTTTGTAGACCAGTTGCACCTGTTAATGAAACAAATTTAACTTAAAATCAAATCTGATGTTATCATCAAGTCCTCCAGTGACATTGCTGTTTAAACTCGTTATATCAAAACAAACTCAAATCTAGTTCTTTATGTTTTAGATGTGTACATGTGTATGCCCTTCTTCAGAATTTCATAAGAACAGTGAGGTCAACAAAAATACTAGAATGACATCATGAACCTGTGACATCATCAATAATAGACAAAATATTGTTGAGAAATTAGAAGTGAAGCAAGGAGAAAATCAGCCATCATATTACAGCAGCATTGTATTGTTCATGCTAACCATCACAAAAACAGGATAGAACTGGATATTTTCATCATATTTTTTTTGTCGACAGAGCTCTATTTTTCAAAATAATTAATAATAATTGCTGTAAATTAATTAATGTTAATTAAAATTCTGAAGAAGGACAATTGCAAACACAATATATATATCAATATTTAAACATGAAAATCATAATTTGATTTCCAAAATTCTCAACAGTACTACCTACAAAACGAATACTGCATGTTTGCACAATATGATGACATAAATGCCCTCGATACCATATGAAATTAATTTCATTGCTTGATAATGTTCGATTTCTATAACGTTGATTTTGATCTTGACACCATGAAAATATGTGCATTTTCAAGATGTTATCATACTTCAAGTTGGTGGTTATATATAATATTAACAGGACTGTAAAACCAAACTGAATGCATTATTTTTAGACAATGTAAATATTCTCAATGATGGAACAACATGAAACAACTACCATCAAAGTGCGGCATCAGATCAGCCTTTGCCTGGATAAGGCCTTCTATTGTCTGATCGTAGATCTCTGAGCGTCGATCTGTGTCGGAGAGCATGCTAAGCCCCCCGTCAGTGCCAAATATAGACTGCATGTCCTCCAGACGTGGGCGTTTGTGGCGATGTTTCCCTCCCGGAGAACGGTCCTCGCGCACAGCTGTCAACACAATGTCAGATACATATAGGAGGGAATACGTTTTAGCCAGGAAAGATCAGCTTGTCACCCCACTAGGAGGAGATAGCCTTGTGCCGATTAGCATGTGTACAATTGTGACGTCATTAAAATGCTTCACCGATAATTGTGACGTCATCAAAAATGAATGACGATATTCATACCCCATACATGTTTTTCTTAAATATACAGAGCCTCTGGTTAGACAACCAAAAACATCACCCCTCGGATTGGAGATTTCTCTGTCACACCCTCAAGGTAGGGGACGGAAGATTCGATTAATCATACAACTGCAAACTAAACAGGTGTATCTGAATTATCTTTAACTACTAATTAGACAACATGAACAGTTCTCAATTGAAATGACAAATTTCAAGTAAAACAGAAATTTTCAAATTGTTTCTTATTGACATTTGTAATCCAAAAGAAACAGCTGCCATAGAAAATACTACCAATATGTCTGTGTACCTCTTGTTCACAAAATAAGCAGTTCCACTGTTTAGTAAAATTAGTTTGTTTACGAAACCAAAAGGTTCTTGGAAATTTTTTATTGAAAGGGGGATTAAATTTTATATACAAACCTGTATCAGTTGCAGTAAAGGGACCATGTATATATAACTATTGGACACATACATATGCTAATGTAAATATATAAATAAGGAGAATTTTTTAATTAAGGTAAAAGGATTGTGTTGCCATTTCTCAGTAGAATTTCTTCAAATTTTGTAGTCATATTGCTTTAAAGGAAAGAAAATTTTCCGCCACAAAAAAAATAAAAATTTAATAAATGCTGAAATGATGTCAAACAAATTATCTATAAACGATTAAAAATTGACATTTTATAATAAAACCATATGCACATAGTAATTGCAGGTAAGAGTTATCTCCTTTGAAAAACTTCACAGTAGTGAAATAGGTAGCTGGTTTCCTGAAGTACAGAAAAATGGATACATGTAACTCATTGATAAAACAAAAACCTGAATTAATGCCTTCATTGCTTTGAAATACTTTAATAGTAGGGGGAAAACACTGTTCGGTCAATAATAAACATACAATATTCATCAGTTTAATATTAAACATTAGAATATGCGGAAATTGTGAAACTGTCTCCCTACATTGGATTTTGAACTAGGGATGTACTTCCTACTTCCGTTTATCAATACACTCATATGACCTTAACCCAGTTTTTATAAAATAAGCAGTCTAGCCAGATATCTCCAATATGATTCATCTGTTTGGAAATATGTAATATCAAAGTTTTACTTGATACACATGTTCATGTACAAACAATGAACGTTGTTTGTCTAAGCTGAAATATTATTCTAACTAGATGACTAGGCTATAGCTGTACATGTAGCGTCTGATATAACATGCAATATATTGTTAACTATACAGGAATCGAGATATATAGAGTTTCAGTAAATGGGGACACTTTTTAATTAGTGTCCATTATAAGGGGAGGAGGGGGCTAATTAGAGCAAATATGGTAACTAGATGACATATCATCATAAATGTTTAGAATATGTACTTGTCTAGTGTTGGGAATCGGTTGAAATTTTATGATTGATCATTGGTTACCATGCATTAACCAATCGATGATCAATTAATAATCGTTTTATAGAAATACATAGTGAAATCCTCCATGCTGTTGTTGCGAATCACTTAGGCAAATAAAAAAGTGATACCATGAAATTATAATATAAGGATTACCTCTCTTCAAACACTGAATCTGTTATATATAGTCCTAACTAGCAGCCATGAGCTAATTAAAAGTAAGTCATGCAGTGATGATGCCAACAATTTTACGTAGTAGCTGGGAAAAATGTCTACTGTACACTCCATAATATCTACACATTAACATTCCGACTAAAATCAATCATGGATTTTGTACTCTATTAATCAGTTAGTTAGCCTAACTGACTGATGCTCGACTTTATCGATTAGTCGGAACACCACTATGCACTTCAATGGTTAAAATTTAAAAAGCCAATATCTTACCTTCTCTTTTCATACCCATCTGCTGACATTTCATAAACCTACAGTATTGACAATTGTTCCTGGTGAATTTGTTAATACTACAGTTGCCAACGTCTTTACACGTGTATATTAAGTTTTTCTGAACTGTCCGCTTGAAAAATCCTTTACACCCCTCACAGGAGAATACAGAATAATGGTAGCCTGACCCTTTATCGCTACACACCAAGCAGCTCATCATCCCACTCTGTTTGGTGGACGAGTCTGATTGATCTACATCTGTAACAGTCTCAATCTGAATCATATTGTCATTCATCGGCTTGAGCGACGAAACATATATTGGAGGAGGCGACTGACTGTTTGCATTTGTCTCCAGATGATGTTGCTGCGTAGAGAAGACCACGTTTCCGTCAGGTGAGAACAGTCCCTCTCCAGATTCGTTGACATGTATCACTACATTTTGCATTCGAGACGTTATAGGGTTGTGTTGTTGTGACCCGCTGGACGACATCTGTGCCTGCTCTATGTGTATGTGTGTTGTCTCTGGCAGACTCGAGGTGGCGACATTCTGCTCCATGTTCATGTGTCCAGGACTTATGGGGTTAGGATCAGGGTTCTGTTCCATAGTGATACTTTTTATTAGGATCTAGGAAAAGAATCTACGATGAAAAAAATATATATATATATTCTTTTTAGGAATAACCAGGATTACCTTTGGGGTTTATATAGTATGTACCGAAAAAACTGTGTGCACTTTGCATAAATCTGCAAAGTAGTTTTCTTCCACAAAAGGACACCGTTTTTTCGATATATACAGAAAAGTAATTAATTATCACCCCATATAATCCTGATTATCCCTTATCATTGAATTTAAAAAGTCACACAACACTTTTTAATTCATAGTTTGTGATATCCATTGCTGACCAAAAACAAAACAATTGTGCAGTAATATCATCGCCAAGTAATCTAATTTATATAACTGCTATACCAATCAGAAGTTTGAATTACTCAAATTAATCATCCACCAATTCAATGTGACACCTGTGCCTTAAGCTTGGTACATGTATATATTTCCTTGGGAATAAATGCATGGATATTGAATATAAAATTGATGACTACACACTATTTGTAATGGATTCTTGTCAATAGTGGGACAAAATATTCATTCAGGATAGCATTATTTTTGATCAGGTGTTGATAAAACCCTTAAAACGTCTAGTACATTATTCCCTTGGACAGTCCAAACAAAACCGTACATAGGTACACTGTAATTCCACAGGCGCTTGGTTTCGGGATACTTTCGGTTAATAATAAACCTATACACGCGTACGCCAGTTAATAACAGCAACATTTTTTATCCGATGTTTTAACACATTCTTAAACCTTATAACATAGGAAGTGCCACGGTTATTTTATACCTCAGTACCTTCAAGTTGAGGGTTGCAGTTGCTGTTATATACTGGTGTGTATAGGTTTATTATTAACCGAAAGTTTCCCAAAACCGAGCCCCTGTGTGTAATTCTCATGTCCCGTGTTCCCACCTCTAAAACTATATGATTAATTCTTTAAAACTTTTATTCTGCCGGTCCAAGCTGAACGAAATGAACTGACTGCACTTACCCTTTATATTCTAAGAAGATGTTTGTGTCTTTAAATAGAACTCAGAGGATTCAGGCAGCTCTCTCCGCCGCTCTCTCAACAGTGGAAGCCATTGTCGCTTTTCTTGTAAATAACATCAGCGTCTTTCAAACGCTTGACAAATTTGCCCTTTATTTATCATTAAAAGCATTTATAACAAAGAAATAGTTATTCACAATGCACATCATTGCTTATGTTTGGTTAAAAAATACGATTGTTTTCTCCTGTATTTCACAGAAATGACGAACGCGTTAATCAACTTTTTTTAATAAAAACGCAAAAGGGACCCAGAATAGAAAGTAATAATTTCCGGTTAGGCGGACTGTTTTTTCGGAATGTCTCGAAGCAGTTCCGAATGGAACCACGTGACTGGTAAAACGAAAGTTGGCAAAATTGTCTGCTGTTAGGATTTCAGAACGATGTCAACAATGAGAATATATTTTGACATTTATTTCCTTTGCTTGATGTATTTGTCTATATACGAAGTATATGGAACAATCCCTAATTATAAGCAGTCTCCTCTAGTGAGAAGATACGACAGACAATTGGAGAATACACTTTATGACCAGAAGACCGATTTGGTTGTAGCCAACTTTAACACCACATACAATGACATCACAAACGAAGATAGAGAAGTCATCTTTAAGTATACATACGAAGAGATCATTAATAAGGTAAAGGAAAATAGCTTGGATTTCTTCTTTTTATTGCTAGAACTGTAACACTGTTTTATTTTATAAATCCCATTGCAAGATTTTTAAGGCTAGCTAGTATACTAGGAAGTCCACCCACATCCTACTCAAAAAAGGACCAAACATCAAACTTACTGCAACAGAATATTTAATGAATATCTGCATTATAACAGGTAAAAAGTTAACCAAAACCAATATTGGGGAAATGCTTTTTCATCCTCTCTGTGCTCATGCAAGGTTATCATTAAAAATTTATTTGAAGTGTACATTTGAAAAGCTATTTTCTAATTAACGAGTTACCTCTTTTAAAGAATTAGAAAATAATTATGGTTCATGGTTCATGGTGGTCGATGTCTTTGTAAGCATAATTCATTTCTTCTGTTGACACTTATATAATCTTCATAGTCATTCACTATATACATATTTACAGGTTGTGCAGAGGACGCGTATACAACTTAATATTATATATCAGTAGCATGATGTTAAAAACTTGCTTGGATGTTTGACCCATTATGCTTATTGAGTCTAGATTAAAAAACATTTAAGGTTGCAGAATCTTCCACAATTGTAGGAAGTTGATTCTATTTTTAAAAGCATGTCCCCTAATGTTCAGGTCTTGTACCAAATTTTTATATCTGAGAAATTATCTCTTTAGCAATAGTAGTTTTTTATTATTAGAATATGGTCTCTGTATCTATTAAATTAGTTTTATGTGTTGCTTTCGGACACTTTTAAAAACATTAAGATAAAAGTTTTATGGAAAATGACTTAAGACCAATGAATTAATTTGTAATTATATATTCTTTATGTAACCATGCAAATGTAACTTTCAATCATTTGTAATTAAGATATAAAAGATATGACATCATGCAGTAAGAAGGCCTATTCAGCATCAGACTTTTTATTAACAATCAATTTTATTAAAGGCACATCCGACCCCATCATCAGATACCCACTGTCGGTAAGGCTACACTTGGTACTGATTGACTGAAATCACTAGCAGTCCATCTATCTAAGAGCCTATACTGTGTGGATAAGCAGAGATGGTAACATGTAAATCAATAGTAGTCCATCTATCTTAGAGCCTATACTGTGTGGATAAGCAGAGATGGTAACATGTAAATTGTGCAATGCATATGCAGGGCTGAATGCACATTAACCCTTTCACCACTGTGGACCACAATGGACTCGTCCATATCAATGCATGGTAGAGTCTACTAAAGTTACTTAGGGGTGAAAGGGTTATATTGTACCGGAACTAAGACGTAGGCATCTTCGGCGACCAGGTAGCTTAATTGGTAGAGAGTCTGTCTAGAGTTTGGAAGGTCCTTGGTTCGAGCCCTGGTCTGGCCATGCATTTTTCCGCTCCTGTTACATTTGGTGCCTGTGACCAACCCTTGTTTCTAGTACTAGGTGAATACTTGACAAGAGAGACCCAAACCTGTACTGCTCAGCGTTTATGATTAAAACATACGGTCATCATACATAGTTAAAGGTTGTTTAATTTAGCACCTTTTTTGTTCTTTTGAAATTGTGCTACACATGAATATGTTTGCTAATTGAACTTCCTGTATCTTGTTCTCTATTAAATATTAAATGTTATTGCACCATTTCATCAATATGCTAATCTGCTAAAATTTGTTAATGTGCTAAAATATTGGTGCGCTAAAATAAGTATGTTTACAGTAATCCTTTTAGTCTCTACCTGATGTAATAAAACCTTAAGCTTGTTCCAAACTCTGACCCTTTCAAAACTACTCTGTCATCACAAAAAATCAAACAAAACATATTCTAACTTGACATCCCACCCCCTGCTTTCCATGCCACTGATTTTTGTCTCTCTAGAGCTCAACACTCGTGATATGATCATTGTCTTTCTGTAGCTATCTGTAAATTTTGTTACTGTTTCTGCTCTCCTATCATTCCTCTTATATATAACATCTTACATGAGTTTCCATTTCATATGAGATTTATGAAACAAGTCCTTAAAAAAATCAATTTAACAAGCCTCTGGCGAGCTAAATTGAAAAATTCTTGCCGAGTTTCATAAATTTCATATGTAATAAAAACGAGTGTAACATCCTTTTTATCACAAAATCAAGATTTGTGGCATTTATATTCATGTAAAACGACAGTTTTCATGCAACTTTGAAATGTAAAAAGCCGCCATTTTGATTCCAGTGCTTAAGTCTGTGACATCATGTACTTGTCCTAGGCGTGAAGTCACAATTGAAACAATTGAAACCTACAACCAATGATAACACAGTACATTATGTGATCAAACTTATTACATATACCCGAGTGTAATCTTCAACGTTTTTCTAATTTTCGTTTTTCTCTGAAAATAATCTTCTGTATAGAAGGAACGCATTGTAATATGTATTGGCAAAAGTATGGCCAGAAAAAAAAAGTTTTCACTATCATCCTCAAAAAAAATAGGATACGTATAATGTAGCATTTTTCTTTGGGAAAACATTTTTGCTATGCTTATATAGAGCAGGTTTTGAATTAAACAGGGCATATCACTAAATGCCAATAAAAAGTTTAGGGTATACGTAAGGCACACAAATCTAGGATAGGTAGGGTTAGCGGAAACACAAGATGTTTCTTTTTATTTGGCCTAAAGCAAAAAGCTACATTTTTCAAATTTGTTTGAGTTAATTATCTTGAATTTGAGTGTTTTCAGAAAAAAGCAAGCCTTATGATATTAGATTTATGATATTACCTTTACATGCATGCCTGTCTTATTTTGTTTTATCTTCCATTTCCTTTTTGTTTTGTATGTCTATGTTTCTGTTGTAATTTTACAGGAGATTTCCCAAGTAAGTACCAAACTACAGCTAAAAATGTAACTCTTCCACAAACCCTCTTGATTAAAACCCTTTCACCACTGTAGACCATAATGGACTTATCCAGATCAATGCATTGTAGAGTTTATTTAAGTTACAAAGGGGTGAAAGGGTTAGTAATGGGCTGATGATTAATTTTAATCGAAAAATCAATCCATTTGCCGTTTCTGATTACTATTATTGATATAATCGGTTCACTATCGAAATCAAAGTGTCAAATGTATGCAATGTAATGTATTATGCATTGTAAGTAAATTTTCTTATAATTTTTAGCTCATCTGGTCTGAAGGACCATGGTGAGCTTATCTCATACCGCAGCGTCCGTCGTCCGTCAACTTGGTCCGTCCGTCGTCTGTCGCCCGTCGTCCGTCGTCATCGCCCGTCCGTCAACTTTTCCTTTAAAACGCTACTAGTCCTGAACGGCAAAATAGATTTTGACTAAATTTGGTCTTGAGCATCCTTGGGCCAAGTGGAATCAATTTTGTATAAATGGTAGGTTTGGCCCCCCCAAGGGCCTGAGGGGCGGGGCCCAATAGGGGAACATAGCAAAATATTCTTTAAAATCCTTCTACTTCTGTAGGAATGACAGGATTTGATCCATATTTGGTGTTGAGCATCCTTGGGTTAAGGGAAACCAATTTTGTATAAACGGTGGGTTTGGCCCCCTTGGGGGCTGGGGCCCAATATGGGAAATATAGCAAATTTTAAAAATCCTTCTACTTCTGTAGGAATGACAGGATTTATTCCATATTTAGTCTGAAGCATCCTTGGGTGAAGGGGTACCAATCTTATACAAACGGAGGGTGTGACCCCCCTGGGACCTGAGGGGCTGGGCCATATAGGGGAAATAGAGGTAAAAACTTTTAAATCCTTCTTCTACCATAGGGATTAAGGGATTTTATCCTAATTTAGTCTGGAGCATCCTTGGGCCAAGGGGACTCAATTTTGTATAAGCAGTTGGTGTGGTCTACCAGGGGGCAGAAGGGCGGGGTCCAATAGGAGAAATAGAGGTAAAACCTTTAAAATTCTTCTTCGATCATCATGATTAAGGGATTTTATCCTTATTTAGTCTGGAGCATCTTTTGGCCAAGGGGACTCAATTTTGTAGTTTGAAATTTGTTATATCTCAAGTACTGGATGGATCTTATGAAATTTCATATGTATACTTACAGCACCTACCATGGAGTGCTATATCTTTACTTCATACCAATTATTTGAAACATATTCAGGTGAGCGATACACTGGCCCTCTGGGCCTCTTTTTTCTATATAGATGATTGACAAAACTGCATAAAAGTTGCTTGAAATCCATTCATTTTAAAACGAACTGTTGTATTCAATCAATAATCATTCGGTTTACTTCTTACGATTACTGATTATGATTTTAAGCTGTTACCCATTACTAGGCTTGATAGAAGTGATTTCTGTAACATGGAAGTTAATTGAATCCTGAACTCATATTCATTACTGTTTGCCCTTCCAATTGATTTGGGGTTTTTTTAAATATTGAACAACGTCGGTGATCATGTTGCTGTGATGTTCATGTGTGAATTAATAGTTAACTCATGCACTCCTGAAGACACATTTGAACTCTTCCAATTCAGAGGCTGGAATAATTCATTATGAAATTTCAGGGTTGAATGAATTAATGAGTGTTAGTGAAAAGATCAATTATAATCCATTCTTTGATATTTTTATAACAGTATGTTAAATTATACCTTTATAATAATAAAATTGAAATTGACATCATATAATTGTTTGGTCTTGCCTTTTTTAGAGTTTGTTAACAAAAAAGTAAACACGATTGCTTAAAAACTGGAAGGTTTTAGTTATGGAACACTGATAACAATTCTGGATTGGAAGTAAGATATATTGATCAATGAATTCAATTTCACTATGACAGGTGGTAGGGTGGCACAGTGGATAGTGCACCGGTCTTCCACCAAGACAGCTGGGGTTTGATTCCCTGATTGGATGTGAAAAGGTTTAGGTCACCTAGCTGCCTCACCACAAGAGTGATAAATACACATTGAAATAAATTGTTTCATAATTGTTGTAAAAATAAGTTTATAATTTTAATGTCACATATAATGTTATTGTAATGTACCCTGCATATTAGAGGCCCAGCACGGGAGATATAGTTATTAGCCCTGCTAGTTATCTTCACATCATTTAATCAATTCTTCACACAGGACTCCCCTCTCTTCTGTTTATACATATATACCCATCACAACAAACATGCCCAACAAAAAGTCATAAATATAATTTAAGGTCCACTTTCCAAGTTATTTTACGATTTTTCTCTCACTATTTTTACTTCTTAACTTCTTAACTTCTTGATTTCATGTTATACATCATCCTTGATATCCAGGTATTACACTCTCTTTCATTCTCTACACCCCTGGAAATTGTCATAGCAAAATCGAAGGCATGCGGCTAGATATTTGATAGGTGTCAGGTAAAAAAACCTGACCAATCACTAGGCTGATACTTGTCCTTTAAAGATTACAGAGGAGGGACGCCAGACTTCAAAGCAATTTTACCATTTCATGACCGCAAGATTCTTTTGATGTACATATACATCAAAGGATCAAACTAGCCTTGATCTCGTCTCGTTCACAAAGTAGCTCAAATTAAGCCTTCCATTTTGCTATCACATATTCCAGGGGTGCAGAGAGCGAAAATGAGTGTAATCCCTGGATGTTGAGGATGGTCATGCATTAAATACATGAAGTTCATTTTCCTTGGTCAAAGTTTGGTCTATAAACATTTCAGTAGGTCTGTAAGAAATCTATAGATCTCTGATAGACCTACTGTCTAAAAGTATGAACATTCTAAATTCTAAAACAGTTACTATATTCTACGAAATTGGAAATTGTTCTGTATCAATTTACTTTTCAAATTATTCACATGTGAAAATATTCACATCATCAATTTTTGTGTACCTTTTAAATGTGTCATTTATGAATTCTTGTGTATCAATCTTTCTAATTTGTCATCTATTCATGTGTACATTTCAAATTTGTCATCTTTTTTTGTGTACCTTTCTAATTTGTCATCTATTCTTGTGTATCTTTCTAATTTGTCATCTATTCTTGTGTACATTTCAAATTTGTCATTTATTCTTGTGTATCTTTTTAATTTGTCATCTATTCTTGTGTACATTTCAAATTTGTCCTCTATTCTTATGACGTCCTTTCTAATTTGTCATCTATTCTTGTGTAACTTTCTAATTTGTCATCTTATCTTATATGCATTTGTCGGCATATATTACCCAAATCTAAATTAAAATAAAAGAATCTTAATGGAACTCTTTATATAAAGGAGGTGAGCATGTCATAATGAGGTAACATCCATATCCTTAAAGTGTCAAGGAACTGTAACTAAAACTTACTGTTTACAGACAACAGCTGTAAGAGTGACGGTATCGCTCCCAAACAAGGAGGTCGACATCAATAATCCAGTTCTGTTCGTGGTTCGACAACAGCAGGGTATCCTGTCATGGAGACTGCCCATGTACCTTGAATACATGTGAGTATCAATCAACACAAGCAATTTCCAAAAACAGTTAAAGGGGTAATAACTTGGTGTGTTTTAATGCTATGTTTATCTTAAGGCTCATATTTTGCTTTAAAATCAAAGAACTAGCTCAGTACTAGTTTATCATCCTGCATCTTTAGATTTGACCTCTGTTGTGACCTTAGTCTGTTATTCTGCTTCTACATTTGACCTCTCCTCATTGTTGTAACCCTAGAATATTATCCTGTATTTATAAATTTGATCTCAGTTGTGCATGACCTCAGTATATTATAGGTATTCAGTATTTATAGATTTGACCTCTGTTGTGGCCTCAGTATATTATTTGGTATTTATATATATATAGATTTGACCTATGTTGTGACCTCAATAATAACATTATTCAGTATTTATAGATTTGACCTCTGTTGTGGCCTCAGTATATTATTTGGTATTTATATATATATAGATTGGACCTCTGTTGTCGCTTCAGTATCATATTTTGTATTTATAGATTTGACCTATGTTGTGACCTCAATATAATATTTGGTATTTATAGATTTGACCTCAGTTGTGGCATCAGTATTATATTCAGTATTTATAGATTTGACCTCTGTTGTCGCCTTAGTATAATATTCAATATTTATAGATTTGACCTCTGTTGTGACCTTAGTATAATATTCAGTATTTATAGATTTGACCTCTGTTGTGACCTCGTATTATATTCAGTATTTATAGATTTGACCTCTGTTGTCGCCTCAGTATAATATTCAATATTTATAGTTTTGACCTCTGTTGTGACCTTAGTATAATATTCAGTATTTATAGATTTGACCTCTGTTGTGACCTCAGTATGATATTTTGTATTTATAGATTTGACCTCAGTTGTGGCATCGGTATTATATTCAGTATTTATAGATTTGACCTCTGTTGTCGCCTCAGTATAATTAATATTCAATATTTATAGATTTGACTTCTGTTGTGACCTTAGTATAATATTCAGTATTTATAGATTTGACCTCTGTTGTGACCTCAGTATTATATTTGGTATTGATAGATTTGACCTCTGTTGTGGCCTTAGTATAATATTCAGTATTTATAGATTTGACCTCTGTTGTGACCTCAATATAATATTTGGTATTTATAGATTTGACCTCTGTGGTGACCTCAGTATAATATTCAATATTTATAGATTTGACCTCTGTTGTGACCTTAGTATAATATTCAGTATTTATAGATTTGACCTCTGTGACCTCAGTATAATATTTTGTATTCATTGATTTGACCTCTGTGGTAATTTAACCTCAGTATACTGTTTGGTACTTATAGATTTGACCTCTGTTGTGACCTCAGTATAATATTTTGTATTCATTGATTTGACCTCTGTGGTAATTTAACCCCAGTATTATATTTGGTATTTATAGATTTGACCTATGTTGTGGCCTCAGTTATAATATTATTCAGTATTTATAGATTTGACCTCTGTGGTGACCTCTGAGTAAATTAATCTGTGTCTGTAGATTTGACTTCTCTTCATTGCTGAATCCCTAGAATATTATCCTGAATCTATATATATTAGACCTCTGATTTGACCTCAGTATATTATGCTTGTAATAAATACGTATTGAAAAATGTTGAAGAGGATGACAATAAAATGCTGAGCAGTTTTCAAAATATAACTTTGACATACAGAAACTTATTTTAGAATGGAAGCTTTTATATGAGTCAAGTCAATAATCGGGCAATAAGTTAATGGTACAATCGCATACTTGCCAACTCTTCCTATTTTGGAGGGACACTCCTGACTTTTGGACCCTAAAATTGAGCATTTTCAACCAGTAAAATTGTTAAACTATTTCTACTTTCTAAATTCTGATGTATTATCTGCAAAAATAGTTGAAAAGATGCAATTTTAAAGTGTAATTTTGTCTCTAGGGGTATACACACAAAGTCTATTTATGTTTTCAATTTAGAGCATGGGTTATCTCCCCCATGAAAATGTCAAAAGGTTTGCAAGTATGCGATTGGTATGTCTATCCTGTAGTAAAATATCGATATGACCTCTGATTTACAGCTATACATACAACCTGGTCAGTCGTAATCTTTGTCCAGTCGACGCGATTCATAGGAACTCCTCAACCAAGGACCAGACCGTGTTTGTGGATGTTTCCACGTTCTCTAAACAAAACATCACATTCACAATTTCCGCGGATTTTGTGAAGGATTTTCACCTCAGGTAACATTTTTTTTTGGTTTTGTTTTCAATTTTGATTTTTATGCACATATAGAGTGGATTCTTCGGAGGCATTTAGTATATGTCATTTCTGTATGTCCCTACAATGATACCCCTGCAGGCTAGGGACAGAGAAAAGAATATACCCACTGTTACTCTCTGCATGTTAGTAGAAGGCGACTAATGAGGGACCCCTCTAATTACCTTTCCATTTCCTAACGCCTCTCTTGGCAATACCTCGCTTTTGGCCGTGGTGTTAAGAGTTTGCCCTAGCGAGGAAGGTTCTGGCTCTACCCTGACCAAGACAAACCAAAGTCTCTAAAACTGGTACTGACCTTTCCATGCTTGACGTTCAGCATTAAAATACTGGTTGGATTGGTGTCAGTGTAATCTGACCGATTGTGGTGTCATTAATTGCTACCGAGTCCAGGTTCTGACATCTCACTTTGGTGGCACTTTAAAGGGCCTGTCAATGGCCCCAATATTTCGTCTGCTGGATAACCGAACAACTCAGTAGTGAAGCGGATGTAAAATCTATCAATTAATCAATCAATGGCCCCTATATTCATGGACACCATCCTTTTATGACCTAATAGCTATTGCTAGTACGATAAACAAATAAAAACCAAAAATCGAACCCTGCAATGTACAACACAGTTGATTTGACTTTATGTAAGATTTATAACTCTTAAACTAGAATTCCATCTGTCGTTAAAATTCATATACGCATATGGATGCATATTGAGGACTGCCGTACCAATAACATGTTGTATACCAGGGCATTTTCGCCGCAGTTTAACTTTTGCCTTTTTCACCCTCCTCAATGAGGGTAAATTTACCATGACAACGAATGTTAATACACAACATACAATATGGAGAAATTCCATGTGAAGGTGAAATTAACTCATTCACCCCTGAAGACACATTTGAACTCTTCCAATTCAAAGGTTGGAATAGTTCATTATGAAATTTTAGGGGTGAATGAGTTAACACTAGGCGAACATGGGAAGATATTTGGCTGGACGAAAGTTTCTCGGTATACAGTATATTTTCCTCTCCAATGACTTTACATAAAATTTACATATCTAATCCAATAAAGCAAGGGTAGGGCATATTATGTTTTACAAACATTTCTTTCTTTCTAAGCCGCCACCATTTGTTGGGGAAGGGGGAGGCATGGGAGGGCATATACCTCTTATAGAGTTACTAATGTCTGTCACGTGTCATCCCGTCATGTCAAGTACGAAAATACCTCGGAGGAGTCCAAAGGTCAATGCCAAGGTCATTGTTACTATTTTTAAGTTAACCAAATCAAAGTCACTGTTGATATATATGTCTGACAGACGTTTTCTATTTTAGGAAAAAAAATAATGTATCTGATAATTTTGTATCTGTTGTAGAACTGATGAGATCCGAAATGTGAATGTAACGCCTTCCCAGCCTCAGTATTTTATGTTCACCTTTCCTGACAATGTCGACTCTGTGATAGTCCAGGCGAAATCCGACAGCGACCTCTGTATGATATTCTCCTTGCAGGATGTCAAGGTAGGTAATTATATGTTGTGAAATCTGATGATTATGAAAAAGATAATTTTGTAACCTACGAGCAGGCACCTTTTCAGCCACTGACTATTATCTCAATGTTGCTAAACTGTTGAGCGAGTCCCAGGATTATACTGCTTTGAGGGAAAAGTTAGTTTGCAAGGAAGGCAGTAGTCTAGTGGTAGGGTGCCGGGCTCGTGACAGAAGGGTTGCGGGTTCGAGTCACATCAAGGCACTGTGTTGTATCCTTGAGCAAGATACTTTACTCTGCTTGTTCCAGTCTACTCAGCTGTAAATGGGTACATGGTTGGGCAGTGCTGGAATTGTTGAATGCTAGCTGTGAGCGCCAAAATGGTAGCACCAGCTGTATGCTCACCAGGGAGTTGAGAATGATGTTGGCTGGTTACATAGGCCCTATAACCGCGGATAATAATTTGTGAACTGTTTTGAGACGACCTACGAGCAAGCAGGATTGTTTCTTCAGTGTCCTGTATTTGACCTTGATTTTATTGTTTTTCAGTGTTCTGTGTTTGACCTTAACCTTATTGATTTTTTCAGTGTCCTGTATTTGACCTTGACCTTTATTGGGTTTTTCAGTGTCATGTGTTTGACCTTCACCTTATTGTTAATTCAGTGTCCTGTGCTTGACCTTGACCTTATTGTTTCTCCAATGTCCTGTTTTTTACTTTGACCTTATTTGTGGGTTTTTTCAGTGTCCTGTGTTTGACCTTGACCTTATTTATTTCACATGTCGTGAGTTTGACTGACCTTATTTGTTTTTGTAGTGTCCTGCATTTGACCTTGTCAGTTTTTTTCTTCAGTGTCCTGTGTTTGACCTTGACCTTATTGTTTTTTTCAGTGTCCTGTGTTTGACCTTGACCCTATTGTTTTTTTTCAGTGTCCTGTGTTTGACCTTGACCGAGATGTTGAGTTTTCTGGTGTTCATCAAACAATGACCAGACAGGCGGCCATTACCGCAGAGGTAGGTGTTACTGTTTAATATTGTCCAGACAAACACTTTTCACCAGAATTGTAAACAAATAAATTATAACTCAAAAGATTGGATGTTGTCTGGTTAACTCGGCTTTTGAAATTTGATTTCTTTTATGGCAGGACTAGTGACATCCTCCATACTCCAGGGGTTACGCTCGCTTTTTATTTTCGCTGTCTCCACCCCTGGAATATGTCATAGCAAAGTTGAAGGTATGCAACTAGCTATTTGATTGGTCTCGGGTAAAAAAAAAACGAGACTAATCTCTAGGCTGATACCTGTCCTTTGAAGATTATAGAGGAGCGACACCCGACTTCAAAGCCAGCCAATTTCACTGTTACGCAACTGAGAGATTCTTTTGATGTACATCAAAGGATCAAACTTGTCTCATACACAAGGTCAGGAAAACTTGTCTCATACACAAAGTCAGGAAAACTTGTCTCATACACAAGGTCAGGCGCACACTGAGCCTTTGATTTTGCTATGACATATTCCAGAGGAGCAGAGAGCGTAACCCCTGAAGTATCGAGGATGGACTAGGAATGTCATTTAGAAATACATCAACTGGAGTAAGCTGACCTTAACTGTATATGCATATACAACTAGCGGAATTTTGATCATATTCTCCATTATATTGAAACAATAACTACAAGATCTTGATCAAATCTTACCGATAAATTTGAAAAATTGATTTTGCAGAAAATAAATGACTTAAAAGTAGGAGATTGAAGAGTTGATATTATTTTTATGTTTGGACAAGAAGGATTGGTAAAACCATCAGGACTAGTTTCAGGTCATAGCTCTAAAATAACAGGCATTGGTTACTTAAATGCAGGTTATAACATTTCAGTGCAGGTCATTGCATTTAACCCCGCTTTTACTCTACCAAAGCAAACAGCAAGATTTTATTCACCTTCTTTAATGCATATTTTTAACTTAATTTATAGCTTTCAACCTTTCCTAAGAGGGAAACTCCCTCATTTTGACCAAAAATTACCAATCTGGCCTCGAAACTCCCTCATTCAAATCCAAATTCACACAAACTCAAAATCTACATTCTGTGGTCAAATGATCTCTTTAAGTTACTGCAGTGCATGTTATAATCCTAACAATTCAGTGTGTCTGAATCAACTGAATGCTTTTAAGAGTTATTTTGATATATAGAAATGGAAAAATATATTGGGCAAAGTAGCTTCAGTTGCGTTTCACTCACTTTCTCCCTCTTTGGAAATGTGGAATGAGGGAGATCTCCCTAATTGGAGGTTTCACAGGTTGACACCTATGTTTATTAACCCTTTCACCCCTATGTAACTTTAGTAGACTCTACCATGCATTGATATGGAGGGGTCCATTATGGTCTACAGCTCATGTATCTGCCTTTGACGTTTTTAACACATTACAGAAATCTAGCTACGACCAGAACTCGTTCTACATCGTGACGGTACTGAAGCCCTCTGACTATGACTGTAATGGTATTGAGACTATACAAGCTGCTGGTTATACTCGCAGGAAACAACTAACACTACAGGTGTACGGCACCATCAGTGGTGAGTATGTGCATATTTTAATGTCCTCAAATTATATGAAAACCCTGTGATTACTATATGTAACATACCGTAAATTTGCGGGTATAGTGCGCACTCGGGTATAGTGCGCAGGTACGTTTTTGGGATCAGATTTGAAAGAAGAAAAAAAGGGAAAATGTTGAAAAAAAATACTTTGAAAAAAAAAATCTGAAAAAAAAACGGTATCAAACTGGAAAAGTAGCATCAAAGGTAGCTTGCTGTTTATAACGCTGATTAATTAACAATTGATTTACTGGAGTGAACAGGCCCATGAAGGTGTAGTTTAAAAATTATATGAAAACCCGAGAGGGTCACATCATCCCCTATGATTACTATATATGTAACATATATATAAACTTTTTTATTTTACAACACTTATGAAATAGGATTTCACCTGTACGTATGTTACACTCTTTGTCATTGCTCTATCGACTTCATTCCTCAATGCAATTTCATGAAACTTGATACAAGTGTTTGGTATGGTAATGCCTTGAACAAGGTCGCATTTCAGGTTACTGCGTTAAAGGTCAAGGTCACTTTTACTATTTTTGGAAAAAAACTTTGTCATCGCACTAGCGACTTCATTTTCTCTTGCATATGTCACGGTGTGTGAATGCGAGGGGATTTGTAACACTTGTAATGCCTTGTTCAACTTATATTAATAACTCTGTTTGCCCGGTTGTATTCGTGTGGAGGGTCTTAATGTGGGAGGAAACCTGAGTACTTCTGTACTTTTTCCCTGTTTAAATACGGTGACAACTGCTCAATGGAACTTTATGTAAAAAACATTCATATATAGTGCTTATAAGGATGTCGTTCAAATCATTTTTGCTTTTACCGGCACTAGGATTTATATAGTTCGAGATTGTAACTCACGAAACCTCCTATTTATATAGTGCATAATAATATTTAAAAAAATAAGTTTTACTTATTTCAATATACTTATGTAACAAGTTATAATGTAAATTAATCTTCTTTACTTAGATAGATGCAATTTTTTTTAAATAATTCATTTTCATGAAGATACTATGCCTGCGAAAAACATTCATTGTCTTTTTTTCTGGAATATAAAGGGTCATGGGAATAAATTGCCTTTAATAAGTCGGCATCAGATCCGCGCTATCACAAGGAGGTAAGCACACCAACATACCATGTCTCCTGCATAGACTCATGCAAGCATGCATGCACTACACACATGGAGGCACATTCTTAAATGAACTTAGCTGTTAATAGGACGTTAAACAAAATGAAACCATACCAAACAAAGCCTTTCAAAACCTATGTCTAACTGTTGTTTTTGATTTTTATTACAGCTAAGAAGTATTACGTGGCCATTATAGGGGCGGTGAGCGTATTTGTTGGATTCTACCTGGTGGCTTTCCTTGTAGGAGTACTGTATCACGGCTGGTGAGGATTACTGCTCTGATTTGTTTAGCTTTGTATCACAAAAAAATCTTTCAAACCTGTTGTCAGTATAATGTGACTGAGCCGAATGCTGTACTTGGTGCCTTCGGCATGATGTTTCAGTGAGATAGCACTATAAAGTTGGCATCAGAGCCGCACTATCGCAAGGAGGCAAACACTGACATACCCTGCCTCTGGCACACATTCACACAAACACAACATACACAGGGGAGAAACGTCCTTAAATGACCTTAGCTATTGATAGGATGTTTAACCCCATAAAACTAAACCATTCAATAACCAAGATATCACAGTGTTATCTCAGCTCAATCTCAGAAAACTTCTTGGGGCCATATAAGTACTCTTCCCGGTACTTCAGCATATTGACTGTAAGGAGGTTCAACTCTGACAGGCTTTGGGAGGTGATTACAGCTTTCATGTGTCCCAGAAATAGACAGTTTACTCCAGCCTAGGCTGGATTAATATTTATAACCCCCCACCCCACCCCAAATGAAGTTCAATTGGGTAGCGGGGGTATATAGGAATCACCCTGTCCATCTGTCCATCCATCCATCCATCTTTACATGATCTTTATAAGTGTAACTCCTCCTATATCAGGTAATGCATTTTTTTTTAACCCAACACAGTGAAAGTGCATTGTATGTATATTTGCAGGACTATGTTTCCTGGAGTTATGGCCGTTGATATGTTCTGCTCCAGAAACCTTGTAAGCACAACTCCTCCTTTACACTGTTTTTTTTAACAATGTATGTCGATGTGCATGAAGAATGAAATTTGCAATTCGACTATATTTTCTGGAGTTGTGGCCCTTGAAATGTTTTGCTCCAGCAACTTTGTAAGTGCAGTGCCTCCTTTACAGCGATTTAGAATTATTTTAATATCTTGGCACAGTGAAAGTACATCATGTATAGATGTGCAGGAAAAAGGAATTTGTGATACAGCTCTTTTCCTGGAGTTATGGCCATTGAAACGTCTGTACCAGAAACCATGTAAGCACAAGTGGGGGTATATCTTTGTTTCTTTAGTTGGTCTAGGTCAGTATTATAATTCTAAATTGTCTATTAATAATATTTTTGTGTGTTTTATCTTCTTTTTTCAGTCGAAAAAATTGGGGTGTCTGGGAATTTGTGCTTGAGGAAGGTAATTGTTTTTTTTGTTTTTTGTTTTTTGTTTTAAGTATTAATTTCTGGTGTCAATATGATGTATGTATAAGTTACTCCAGTTAGAATATCTGCTATGATTTAGTAAATATAAAAATGTTGTGACCAATTTCGAAAGAAAAAATATACAGAAACATTTTTGCAATTCATATTGATAATTTTTATACATGTTAGTGGTATATATAGTAAATAAAAAATATTGTGACCAATTCAAAAAAACTAAAACAAAAGAGAAATGCTTGCAATTCAGATTGATAATTTTGATACATGTTATATACAGAATTGTAGTGGTTAATTTTGCCAAAGTATTTGGTAATGTTTAGAATGACCCTGTCAACTGATGACCTCTGCCCTCTGACCTTGATCTTGCAGATACAGAAGAGACCAATCCTCTCACAGGAGAAAGTCGGCCTAGTCGTCATGGGTACGGGACTGTGGAACCGGATCTGGATTCAGGTAAACATCAAGTAATCTATTCTGGTTAGATATTTTGTTAGAAAAATTAGATTAAAATAAAAGCAATCTGATAATTTTCAGTAGATTTATACAGAACAAACTTTGATTCTGAAGTATACACTCTATGTACCCCAAATCACCAAGTTAAAAATTAGGATAAGATTTTATAAGGGAGATGGGAAGTAGCGGGGTTGTCCTCATGTACTGTCCCCTTGTTAGCTCACCTGGTCCGAAGGACCAAGGTGAGCTTATGCCATACCGTGGCGTCCGTCGTCCGTCCGTCGTTCGTCCGTACGTCAACAATTTCTTTAAACGACTTCTTCTTCTTAACCACTGGTTGGAATTAAAGTAAATTTGACTGGAAGCATTCCTAGGTGGTGGGGATTCAAAATTGTACAAATGGTGGGGCTGACCCCCTAGGGGACTGAGGGGCGGGGTCAAAAGGGGTCAATTTGCCCATATTGCTTTAAGCGACTTCTCTGAAACTAAGAAGTGGATATCAACCATATTTGACTGGAAGCATCCCTAGGTGGTGGTGATTAAAAATTGTACAAATGGTGGGGCTGACTCCCCAGGGGGCTTAGGGGCGGGGCCAAAAGGGGGCAATTTGGCTATATTGCTACAAACGACTTCTTCTGTAGAACTGTGCACTGGATATCAATCATATTTGATCAAAAGCATTCCTGGGAGGCAGGGATTTAAAATTGTACAAATGGTGTGGCTGACCCCCCAGGGGGCTGAGGGGCAGGGCCAAAAAGGGTATTTGGCTATACTGCTTTAAGTGACTTCTTCTCTGGAACTAAGTGATGGATATCAACCTTATTTGACTGGAAGCATCTCTAGGTGGTGGAGATTCAAAATTGTACAAACGGTTGGGCTGACCCCCCAGGGGGCTGAGGGGCGGGGCCAAAAGGGGGCAATTTGGTTATATTGCTATAAATGACTTCTTCTGCAGAACTATGCCATGGATATTGATCATATTTGGTCGGAAGTATTCATGGGAGGCAGGGATTCAAAATTGTACAAATGGTGGGGCTGACCCCCCGGGCTAAGGGGTGGGGCCAATAAAATGTATTACTTGGAAATGGTTGAGATCCCCACCATATAACCATATATACAATTGCTGAGTATAAAGAGAAGAATGCACATTTGCTTCCAGGATGTCCCTAGGGTCTGGCCCCACCCTTGGAGACATAGTCCCTGGGCCATAACTTTAAAACGGTTGAGATCCCCACCCCAAAACTATATATACAAATGCTGGGCATAAAGAGACGAATGCAATCATGATATCAGAATAGACCCTGGGGTCTGACCGAACCCCTAGGGACCTAGTTTCTTAGTCACAGCTTGGAAACAGTTGAGAGCCCCACCCTATAACCGTATATATACAATTGCTGAGTATAAAGAGATGATTGCACATATGCTTCCAGGTTGGCCTTGGGGACTGCCCCACCCTTGGAGACTTAATCCCTGGGTCATGACTTTGAAATGGTAAATATCCCCACCCCAAAACTATATGTACAATTGTTGGGCATAAAGAGACGAATGCAGTCATGACATTAGAATTGATCCCAGGGTCTGCCCCACCCTTGCAGACTTGGCCCCTGGGTCATAACTTTGAAACGGTTGAGATCCCCATCCCAAAACTATATATACAAATGCTTGGCAAAAAGAGACAAATGCAATATTAGAATCGATCCTGGGGTCTGGCCACAACTCTAGGGACCTAGTTTCTGAGTCAAAGCTTGGAAACAGTTGAGATCCCCACCCCATAACAATACATAAAATTGCTGGGCATGAAAAATCTAATATAGCTATGCTACAAGGATTGGCCTTGGGGTCTTGCATATTCCCTTGACCTCATTTGGAGAATAGTTTGCCATGATTGCTTAGGTATCCAGGTGAGCGATACAGGCCCTCTGGGCCTCTTGTTTCTTTGATGAAAGACCAGATTGACGGAGCAAATGCAATAAAAGGTGTAACTGCAGCACATAAAGGTAATTAAAATAATGTGTACTACTTCATCTGATCAAACAAGACTTGGTTCTAACCCAAGTGATTAATACGCTTACAGAAACCTTTCGAGGCGTTCTCGGCGTGGTTGGCATGGGCGCAGCTATATTTTGTAATCACCCCGGGATATCTTGGTACCTTACAGTAACCTTTCATAGTTCGCGTAGTATGAGAATGCACCGACGATTTCCAAGGAGATATGCTGGTTGGCTAAGACCAAAGGTCATGTCGAGATGAACTCAAACAGGGCACTGTTAGATCTTTCATTGGAGTGTTTTGTAGAGGAGCAGTATTACAAGTCTAATTTTAATTTGATTGGACGTGTGTGACACCTCCACTTGAAGTCATTACTATCTCTGTGTTATATCTGTCGTGTAGAGGATAGCAGTGCCCAGAGAAATAAAGAGATGTACAGAGTTACCCCCTCCAGACCCCCCTCTCTCGCCAGAACCCCGTCAGAGGATGACGTCGACTTCCTAGATGATGCCACAAGCGAAAAGAATGTCCTCCGAACAAAAGTAAGAGTTTATCTCATGACGAGGATAATCATATTTTTTATAGTTTATTTTCCATTATTATGATTGTTTATTAATCATTACCGATACAACAATGTTAAAATGAACAGCACGTCTGATTTGTTATTTATTTCTATTTTTTAAGAAAAAAGGCTAAATGAAATTTAAAATTAGTCATTGTATATTTCTGCCATACTTAGGTTATCAAACACCCTTTCCTTTACTTATTGATATGTTTTATCAATCAGTGAGTGATCAGCCTGTTATATTTGGGTACGAAATACAGGGTTAGAGACACGAAACCATTTTTAGGTCACCTGAGCTTTGCTCAAGTGACCTATTCCAATCGCTTTTCGTCCGTCGTCGTCCGTCGTCCGTCGTGCGTCGTGCGTAAACTTTTACATTTTCAACTTCTTCTCAAGAACCAGGGGATGGATTTTTTTCAAACTTGGTCAGAATCATCCTTGGTAGATGAGGCTTCAAAATTGTAAAATTGGGATTCCTACCCCAACCCCTGAGGCCAGGGCGGGGCCCCAAAGGGAAAATTAATCAATATTTCAAAAATCTTCTTCTCCAGACTCAGAGGTACTACAGTGATTTTCTCTATGTGGAAAGAAAGATCATCAGGGGCTTTACTTAAATTGTAAATTTCAGGACCCCCGAGCTATCCGTTCTCCCTTGGGGAGGGGGTAAAGTTTACTATAGTTTATATAGGGAAATAACACTTTTGGGTATATTTTGACAACTTTCTGTAGGAAATTATTTTTACTTGGTGAGAATTATCCTTGGAGGTAGATGGTTTCAAATTGTAAAATTGAGATTCCTACCCCGACCCCTGGGGCCAGGGCGGGGCCCCAAAGGGAAAATTAATCAATATTTCAAAAATCTTCTTCTCCAGACTCAGAGGTACTACAGTGATTTTCTCTACGTGGAAAGAAAGATCATCAGGGGCTTTACTTAAATTGTAAATTTCAGGACCCCCGAGCTATCCGTTCTCCCTTGGGGAGGGGGTAAAGTTTACTATAGTTTATATAGGGAAATAACACTTTTGGGTATATTTTGACAACTTTCTGTAGGAAATTATTTTTACTTGGTGAGAATTATCCTTGGAGGTAGATGGTTTCAAATTGTAAAATTGAGATTCCTACCCCGACCCCTGGGGCCAGGGCGGGGCCCCAAAGGGAAAATTAATCAATATTTCAAAAATCTTCTTCTCCAGACTCAGAGGTACTACAGTGATTTTCTTTACGTGGAAAGAAAGATCATCAGGGGCTTTATTTAAATTGAAAATATCAGGACCCCGAGCTATCCGTTCTCCCTTGGGGAGGGGGTAACGTTTAATATAGTTTATATAGGGAAATAACACTTTTCGGTATATATTTTATCCATTTTCAGCAGAAAATTGCTCAAACTTAGTCAGAATCATCTTGGGTAAATGAGAGTATTACTTTGTAAAATTGGGATTCCTGCCCCATCCCCAGGGGCTAGGGCGGGGCCCCAAAGGGAACATTTACCAATATTTTCAAATTCTTATCCTTTGATGACATGACAAGTATTGTATTTCACTTAGTTTACATGCTGATTTCCACATCACATCTAAACAATAAAATAAAGCTACCAGTACCTATGATATAACTCAGGTGACCGCTAAGGCCCTTGGGCCTCTTGTTGATTGTCAGTCCTGTGTCAATGTAACTACATTGTAGTCCCTTCCTCGATACTCAAGGGGTTACGCTCACTTTTGCTCTCTGCACCCCTGGAATATGTCATGACAAAATCGAAGGCTCAATGTACACTACCTTGTGGATGAGACGAGAAGACTTGTTTGATCCTTTGATGTACATAAAAGAATCACTTGGTCGGGTAACATAAAATTGACTGGCTTCGAAAACCGGTGTCACTCCTTTGTAATCTTCTAAGGACAGGTATCAGCCTGGCAATTTGTCAGGTTTTTACCTGAGACCAATAAAAAGCTAGCACACATGTCTTCAGTTTTGCTATTACATATTCTAGGGGTGCAGAGCATACCAGGTAAGTGAGCGTAACCCCTGGAGTATTGAGGATGGGATTTGTTGAAGATTTCCTAAAGGAAACTTTTCCAGCACAAAACTTAAAAAATGTAATGGGAACATTACTGAAACTACTGTCATAACTAAATTGTATTGATTAATGTATATGCTAATTGTGTTAAAATATACATTAGATGTGTCATCACTGGACGTTGTCATGGTCATCTTTACCTATTATTAACTCTACTACACAAGGACTTCTGTAAAAGATGTGCATTGATTAGGTTGCCTTACAAGCGTCAGCTGTAGGGAATTTCCTTTTAGCTCAGCGGTAGAGCATCGGGCTGGAAAGCCAAGGGTCGCGTGTTCGAGCCCCAGCGACGGCACTATCTTTATAACTATTTCTTGTCCTATTACACTTGTGTATTCCTTGTGGAATCCGTCTGCTGCAATAATAATGCTGCACAGACGTTTAATCTCCCACTCCTTGTATTTAAAAAAACATATCTATAATATAATGCTATTATGTTGTTCCCCTTTCAGACTGCTCTGTTTGTATGTGACTTGGCTAGAAAGCCCAAGAAACGACAGGAGAAAAACTACAAGCTCTTTTGTAGGTAGGTATAAATAAGTTTTTTCTCCTTTAGCTCTAAAACAGAGTTACTTATTTATGGTACAATAAATTGATAAATAATCAGTATATAAGGATTGAAAAGCTTTTTAATCAATTTCTTGCTTGTATGAACGCAAATCAGTTACATATACATAGTATGTCATGGCACTGTGTTGTATCTTTGAACAAGATACTTTACTCCGCTTGTTCCAGTCTACTCGGCTGTAAATGAGTACATGGTTGGGCAGTACTAGAATTGTTAGCTGTAAATGAGTACATGGTTGGGCAGTGCTAGAATTGTTGAATGCTAGCTGTTAGTGCCGAAATGGCAGCTCCGGCTGTATGCTCCCCAGGGAGTTGAGAAAGATATTGGCTCGTTGCAAAGGCCCTAAAACCACGGATGATAATTTGTGAACTGCTTTGAGATGATCTACGACCTAGGTTGTGATAAAGCTGTATATAAGAACCTCAAATTATTTTTTATTATTATTGATTTATCCTCTTTGCAGAAACCTTGTTGCTATTTCAATTTTCTACGGCCTACCTGTCCTGCAGCTTGTGATGACCTACCAAAAGGTGAGATTATATTCTGTCGATCAACAGGTGCAAATAACTGTCATTGTATTAGGTTGATCACATGACAGGGAAATAAAACATTATGTTTCCCTCATGCCCTTGGGTTTCCCCAGTCTTGACAGGGAAATAAAACAGTGTGTTTCTCTCATGTCCTTGGGTTTCCCCAGTCTTGACAGGGAAATAAAACAGTGTGTTTCCCTCATGTCCTTGGGTTTCCCCAGTCTTGACAGGGAAACAAGACAGTGTGTTTCCTTCATGTCCTTGGGTTTCCCCAGTCTTGACAGGGAAATAAAACAGTGTGTTTCCCTCATGTCCTTGGGTTTCCCTAGTCTTGACAGGGAAATAAAACAGTGTGTTTCTCTCATGTCCTTGGGTTTCCCCTGTCTTGACAGGGAAATAAGACAGTGTGTTTCCCTCATGCCCTTGAGTTTCCCCAGTCATGGCAGGAAAATATAAGGTTTCCCTAGTCATGACGGGGAAATAAAACATTGTGTTTCCCTCATACCCTTGGGTTTTTCCTAGTCATATTTCCAATTATTCGGAGCATCGAAAGAAAAATGAGCATGTAGCACCAGAGTGACTGAACAAAAGAACAACAATGATTAACTATTATTATATAATTATTATTATAAGCTTTATTTATCACATAATTGACTGTGTTATCCAGTGAATATACCCATGTCATATTTGTTTGCGTATTAACCCATGTAATATGACCTATTAGCCCTGTGATTGGTTGTAAGTTTCAATTGTGACATCACGCCTAGGACAAGTACATGACGTCACAGACTTAAGCACTGGAGTCAAAATGCCGTTTCATTTCAAGGTTGCATGAAAACTGTCGTTTTTCACGATTAAATGCCACAAATCTTGATTATGTGATAAAAAAGATCTGACACTCGTTTTCATTTCATATGAAATCTATGAAAATCTTCCCTCATTTTTTTCATTTCAGCTCGCTAGAGGCTCGCTGAATTGAAAATTCTTACACTTGTTTCATAAATCTCATAGGAAATGGAAACTCATGTAAGATCCTTTGACGTCATCGACCATGGCATACTTTATAAACGTCTGGAATACTCTTATGGAGTGACTGATACCGCACTATGCTGGATACAGTCATACCTGAGTGAACGACGACAGTGTGTTGCCATCGGATCTGCCACCTCACATGACAAAGTACTAGATTTCGGGGTTCCTCAAGGGTCGGTGTTAGGACCACGAAAATATTGTATGTACTCCAAACCGATTGGAGAGATTTGTCGTCGCCATAGCCTTCGCTATCATTGCTATGCTGATGACACACAAATTTACATGGTCATAAAACCACAGGACAGTTGGAATACAGTCTCAAAACGTCTGGAAGCTTGTCTGACGGATATCAGTATCTGGATGCACGCCAACATGCTTAAACTTAATCAGGAAAAGACGGAACTAATCGTCTTTTCCCCAAAGTGTCAGCAAACAATGGCTCTCCAGCTCAAGGTTGGTGCCAGAACTATTGAGACTGTTCCAGCTGTTAAAAACCTAGGGGTATACTTTGACAGTTCTCTGAACATGGAGAAACAAGTGAACGCGATTGCCAAATCCTGTTACTACCAGATCAGGAACATCGGCTGTATTCGGCAGTTTCTAACTGCAGATGCATGCAAGATTTTGGTGCATTCACTTGTTACCTCTCGGTTGGATTATGGTAACGCCCTGCTCTGTGGTATATCTGACAAACTAACTAGTCGTCTGCAGAGGGTTCAGAACACTGCAGCACGGCTAGTTACTCGTACTCGAAAGAGAGAGCACATCACACCTGCGCTTTATTCGTTGCACTGGTTACCTGTACGATACAGGTCGCAGTACAAAATTCTGGTATACACATACAAGGCACTGAATGGAACAGCTCCTCAGTACCTACAGGAACTTGTTACCCTGTATCAGCCGTCAAGATCACTGCGGTCGGAGTCAGAATCTTTGTTGTGTGTCCCAAAATCTCGTACTGTGACCTACGGAAACAGATGCTTTGGGAGGGTTTCGGCTACGTTGTGGAATAGCTTACCATCTGCTATTAGGAAGTCGAATACCCTGGCCAAGTTCAAGAGGGACATAAAAACTCACCTCTTCACGTCTGCATTTTAGAATCTTTGCAAAGACGTCATGTAAATACCACCCTTTTATTTGTTCAATTATGTGCACATTGCTTGTTAAATGTATGAAAGTGATTGCAAGCCTTTGTTGTTTGTTTTCACAATTATAACCATTACTATTATCCATATGTTGTAAAGCGCCTTAGAGTAATTTTACAAATTATATAGGGTGCTATATAAATGCTGTATATTATTATTATTATTATTATTATATTTATTTTACAACAATTATGAAACAAATATGCTGTACATAATATATAATTTTACGTAATGTAATATTAGGGATCTTAGCAGGCACAGGGGTCTTAATGTGGGAGGAAACTGGAGTACCTGGAGAAAACCCAAATGGTCGGGCAGGTAACTCCATACCTCTTTAGGTCTGATCTGATTGGGGAATCGAATCCCGGCCATTTCTTTGTAAAAGGTAATTTTCGTTAATGACTCTGATACAGGTGTTAATATCCTGACATTTTACTTTTGTGAATGTTACAGGTTTTACACGTTACTGGCGACCAGGATATCTGTTACTACAACTTTGACTGCTCGCGACCTCTGGGTGTACTCAGTGCCTTCAACAATGTCTTTAGTAACATTGGTTATGTCATGTTAGGGTTGCTGTTCCTTCTGCTTGTGTGGAGGAGGTGAGTGCTCAATATTAGCCACCGATGGCATTGCCACTATATAACCCTACCAAATTCAGTTGGCATACATATAGGCTATGAATGCCATAGACTGATTGTTGAAGTCGATCATCATTATTATGACATCATAATTGTTACGTCGGATACCACTGACCCTCCCTTGGCGATGGCTGTTCTATTTATTGAACAAGCATACCCGATACATACACTATCTGAACCAAATGCTGAATAATAATAAGTGTAATTGAATTTTCTATCAGATGAACAGATTTCAAAAATGGTAAATATAAGTATTGAACTGCTTTCAGTTGCGTGCTTCATTGAATTTGTGTTTGTCCAGTTCGCATTCATATTGCCTATGAATGCCAACTGAAAGCAGTTCAATGCTTAAATATCTTTTGGAAATGTGTGAGATGTTGGGAGATGGCTATAAGTTGTATTAACTTGTGCCTTAATCCATCGCTCAAATTATTTGGCAATAAATATGTTCAATATCAAAAGTGGTTAATTTTTTTATCAACACAACACAAAATCCTTTGTGTATTATAAAGTATGAAAATACTGAAATTCCCGTTGATAATCATCGTAATCAATTACATGTAAATTCAGAAAGAAAAAAACAACCTTTTAATCAAAACTGAATAATGTTTTGCTTGAAATTACAGAGATCTAGTTTACAGAAAGGCAGTGGAAAGAAACCCTGAGGTTGAAACAGTAAGTGTTTTAATTTTTTTGTGCCTATTCTAAAAAATGCTAGAAGGTATTTGTAGCATACTGTATGTTGTTGTAACTCATTCAACCCTGAGAACACATTTGAACTCTTCCAATTCAAAGGTTGGAATAGTTCATTATGAAATTTCAGGGGTGAATGAGTCAAAGTCGTGAATCCCACCATTTTTGTACTGCACACAGGCCTTAAACCCTCGATCATCACTCCAGATATTAGAATGGATTTGATTGCGTATGAGATTCCAGTTTGAGTATTCCACATGCAAATTTTTTTCTGGGTGTTATGGCCAAGGTCAAGGTCACCATTGCAATGCTTTGTTTCTACAAGATCAAATATTCTGGAATTTTCAGAAATGTTATAAATATATTCCTAGGGCTTGTCTATATCCAGACTGTATTTAATTTGGCAGATGAATATTCATTAAATGCTGATGTATATAATACCTCTCCTTTGATTGAATTATTCTTTTGTCTGTCTGTACCTGCGTCCATGTAAGTCCGAATTATTCTGACGTTTTATCAACTTTTTTCATATCGGTCTGTTGTCGATTAACGTCAGAACTCCGGCCCTCTATAATATGCGGGAAATATGCGACCCGCGCCCGGAGTGCACTTCAAACTGATATTTTAGAAACAAATCGTCACTTTCACACACATGTCGCACATGGATCAAAAGATCTATTCTTTATGCACTAGGCGGTATCAATAACATGAAATGAAACTTGTCAATTAAGTAATGGGTAGTAAATATTCGTAAACAATTTTCAGGGACGCCAGGAAATGTTTTAAGGCTATTAATAATGTGCTCTGTCTTTCTTCCACAGAAATATGGCCTGCCACAACACAACGGGTTACTGTATGCTATGGGGCTGGCTCTGTGTATGGAGGGGGTGATGAGTGGCTGTTATCACGTCTGTCCCAACTACTCCAACTTCCAGTTTGGTAAGTTCTTCCGTTTGCTTTCCAGAAAGGAATTTCTCGATTCTCCCAATTTCGCTCGTATTTATATATACTAGTTTTGAATATCAATAAGTATTTACCCCTCCAGTGAAGTAATCGGGCAGCTGAAGAACATTTGTAGTGAGGCCATACCTGCCAACCCCGGATATACTGATGAAAGAGTGAGAACCTTCTTTTGAATGTCCTACATAATTATACAACTTTTAAAGTGGCTTTTTTCTCTATTTTTGTAGATACCTCTTTTATGTACATCATTGCCTGCCTGTGTATGCTGAGAGTCTATCAGAGTAGACACCCTGACATCAGCGCCAAAGCTCACACTTCCTACCTCGTCATGGCCTTCGTCATATTTATAGCTGTTGTTGGCGTGGTGAGTACTGTTGTCATGGCCTTTGTCATATTTATAGCCGTTGTTGGCGTGATGAGTACTGTTGTCATGGCCTTAGTCATATTTATAGCCATTGTTGGCGTGGTGAATACTGTTGTCATGGCCTTCGTCATATTTATAGCCGTTGTTGGCATGGTGAGTACTGTTGTCATGGCCTCGTCTTATTTATAGCCGTTGTTGGCATGGTGAGTACTGGTGTCATGGCCTTCGTCATATTTATAGCCGTTGTTGGCGTGGTGAGTACTGTTATCATGGCCTTCGTCATATTTATAGCCGTTGTTGGCATGGTGAGTACTGTTGTCATGGCCTTCGTCATATTTATAGGCGTTGTTGGCGTGGTGAGTACTGTTGTCTTGGCCTTCGTCATATTTATAGCCGTTGTTGGCGTGGTGAGTACTGTTGTCATTGGGCTTATGTGGTTATGCATTCACCCCTGAAAACTCATAATCATTTAAACTCTTCCAATTCAAAGGTTGGAATAATTCATTATGAAATTTTAGGGGTGAATGACTTAAAAGCCCTTATTACCATGGGGAGTAAAATCCCAATGCCATATGGTTGATGCTATATGTTAGAAACTCTTTACCATTGTAAATAGTTGTTATTGGGTTTGATATGATATGTAAAATCTGTTGTTATAATAGTAAGTATCAATGTCATTGGGACCAAAAAAACTTGTTGTCATGGCAAGGTTCATCAGATGTTATTGTGATGAATACCCTTGCCATTGGGTTCATCATGTGATAAAAACTGTCAACAAAATTAGTACTGTTGTCATTGTGTTTGTCATAATGTTTTAAACTTTTTTTCATGATGTGTACCTACATTTGTATGTCATTGAGTTCATCATGATACTTCCTTTTTCTGTGATTGTTGCTTTTTCTAAATATATTTGATTATCTCCCTTTACTTGTAATATATATGTCGCAATAACAGCTCTCTAGAAACTGTCAGTGCAGTGGGTACTGTTGTCACTGTGTCCATCATACGTTAAAACACGATATCATGATGAGCACTGTTGTCACTGTGTCCATCATATGTTAAAACACGATATCGTGATGAGTACTGTTGTCACTGTGTCCATCATACGTTAAAACACGATATTGTGATGAGTACTGTTGTCACTGTGTCCATCATACGTTAAAACACGATATCGTGACGAGTACTGTTGTCACTGTGTCCATCATACGTTTAAACACGATATCGTGACAAGTACTGTTGTCACTGTGTCCATCATATGTTAAAACACGATATCGGGATGAGTACTGTTGTCACTGTGTCCATCATATGTTAAAACACGATATCGTGATGAGTACTGTTGTCACTGTGTCAGTCATACGTTAAAACACGATATCGCGATGAGTACTGTTGTCATTTTGATCAGCATACATTAAAACTCTTTATCCTGGTGAGTATCATTGTCATTGGGTCAATGATTTGTTAAAAACTGTCATCTAAAGTGAGTGTGCAGTATGACAGGGAATAGTGATAAAGATAGTGCCGTCGCTGGGGCTCGAACCTACGACTTTTCTCTCTCCGGCCCGATGCTCTACCGCTGAGCAAAAGGGAAATTCCCTATAGCTGACGCTTGTAAGGCAAACTAATCAATGCACATCTTTTACACTATTCCCCCCTTTTTTCTAACATCTACCCATGTTCTTTGACTCTCCACCAAGGGTTCTCCTACCTTGAACGGAGAGGGTCAACGGCACAATGCAGTCTGTAGTAGGACAGGGAATAGTGATAAAGATAGTGCCGTCGCTGGGGCTCAAACCCGCGACCCTTGTCATTCCGGCCCAATGCTCTACCGCTGAGCTAATGGGAAATTCCCTATAACTGACGCTTGTAAGGCAAACTAATCAATGCACATCTTTTACAAGTGTGATGAGTATATCCTGACTTGACATGATCATAATTTTCTAAATCCCCAAAATCTGAGTTGACTAATTTGCAAAATACCTATAATATTTGAAACTCTGTTAGCCGTTGTGGACTTTTGTAATGTATGTAGGTATATGGTACTTATACTCTGTAACCCTGTTTGTAGTAATGAAAATGTACTATGTTTTTAGGTATACGGTACAAACATTTTCTGGATCCTGTTCGCCCTCGTTGACATGCTTGCCTCCCTTATCCTCAGTGTCTATATATACTACATGGGCCGCTTCAAAATGAGTAAGTTTATTTTTTCGATATGGTTATCATTTAAAACAATTTACACGAATCATTTAAGAAATAATGCATATTGATTAGAACCAGTTTTGTGGATGATGTTTATAAAGTTTCTTACTGAATTGTTCATAATATTTGTAACATTGTAGACCAATGCCACATGTTAGCAATTTAAAATCATTTTTGGATCAGATTTGAAACATAATTCATACTGATGGTTTAGGAAGGGATTATTTTATAGTGCTATCTCACTGAAATTTCATGCTGAAGGTATTAGACTTGACATACAACTATGATCATGCATAGACATTCAGATTCCAGTAATATTTTCCCTGAAATTTGGATTGGTTCAAAATACATGTCAAATAGTGTGTTCTTTCAGACTAAAGAGTCAAAGCTCATTTTGGGGAGTCAAAAACATGCTCTCGAGGGTCTATTGAAACCTGTCTCTGATAAAATCTTGCCATCTTTATTAACCCTTTCAACCCTATGTAACTTTAGTAGACTCTACCATGCATTGATCTGGATGAGTCCATTATGGTCTGCAGTGGTGAAAGGGTTAAGCACTGAATTTGTAAGACCCCATACACAATTCTTACGATCCCATCCTCATCACCAAATGTAAGGTTGACCTCAGATTCAACTCTTTGTATTAAACACAGTAACCAACTCAATCATTCAATAGTACATTAACGCATGACGTCACAACTCAATATACACAGGGACTTGATGCAGTACTAAACACTACAGTTACTTTTCAGACACAGGGATCGTAACAAAGATGTATTTATCTCTACGGTACGAGTGTGGACACTGCACGACACCGATGTATAAGGTCAGTAAAAAAACATGGTCACCTAAATCGTAGATCTTTTGTAACTGGAAAGATTCCTGGGATGATGCAGGAAATGTTTATAAGCAGTTGTCTTGTTCGTAATATTAACTTTTAATCATGTTCCACGTTGTATTAAGAGACGTCCTCCCTCGGGAAACCCAAGTATTTGTCTCTGAAATCACTTAAATAACACAGGAATTTTTTTTAAGGTAGTCTCATGAGAAGGACGTCTCTGACATCACAATTGATCACGATAGTGGCAATTTTTTATTTTTTATTTTCACATTTAGCCCTGTTCTGTGCTCGGTTAGTTCAGTTTGAAAATGGTAAAAACATGATTATTTGTTACTGAAGTAAGCGTCAGTTCTATTTTCACTGTAAAATCATATTTTCATGCTTTGAACCCTTTCACCACTGTAGACTATAATGGACTCAACCAGACCAATACATGGTAGCGTTTACTAAAGTTCCATAGCCTGATAGTGGTTAAAAAGTTAAAAGTATATTTCTTACTAAACTTTTCTTGTGTCTTGTTTGGATATTTTACTCATACATTTGTATATTTACTACAATGTTGTTGTTTTTTTTTATTCAGGATAGACTGGTAATCCTCTTTATAGGGAATGTACTGAACTGGAGTTTGTAAGTAGTTGAAATATTCAGGATTGAATCCTGTAGAATGAAAGTTGTGTAATTATAGATAATAACAACAAGTGTAAATTTCTGATAAAAGCTCCTGCACTGATCTTTATTAATGTTTGTTTGAGTGGTTTTATGTCCGCTTCACTACCGAGTAGTTCGGTTATATCCAGCAGACAAATCTTTTATAGTAATGAAGACTTACCATATATCCCATTAGTTGAAGCAATGGGTGGCTATAAGTTTATAACTCTGATCATGATTGGCTGAAATAGTATGGTTACCATAGCAACCACAGCTCAGTTTTGTTCCATAGTAACTGGAGAACCAGGCTACCAATATTTTGATTCACTGAAATATTATGATTACCATGGCTACCACAACTTATTTTTGCTGTAGTAATGCATTACCATGGCAACCATGTCTAAGATGGCTGGAGTTACAATATTTTTCTGTAGTAGTGTAGGTCAACATGATTACCATGATTCTAATTAGCTTGCCTCAGACCACAGTTAAATTGCTTCTGGTTTGTTGTACAAGAATGTAGTGCATTTCTCAATTTTCGGCTTGTTTTTAAATGAGCTTTTATTAGCTCACCTGGCACAAAGGAGATACCCGAACCTGGGTTGTAAATAGTTGTGTCTTAGGGGGTGAAGAATTAGAAAAAGGAGGGAAGAATGTGGCAGAACTGGACTGGGCCAATCGTCGGTTACCAGGTAACTCAATTGATAGAGTGTCCGTTTAGAGTTTTGAGGGCCCCACATTCGATCACTGGTCTGGCGGTACGTATTTCTTCTCCTGTTACAAATATGTGAATCGTCATTGACCTTTAACCTTGCCTTGCAGTGCGATATACGGAGCAGTGACTAGGCCGTCAGATTTTGCCAGTTACCTGCTAGGAATTTTCATAGGCAATTTACTGTTGTACTCTCTCTTCTACATTATAATGAAGGTAAGTTGTTCCGAAATAAATACTCAGTAATGGGTGTCTTGTCTGATTAGGGACATGAATCTGTTAGAATATTTCCTGTTGGAAAGCAAGATTGATCACACTTGATTAACTGTTAGATATATATTAAAATACCATATAATACTTATTAGTTATGGATTTTTATCGAGGTCAGTATGCATGTTGTTATATGAGCCTGATAGTAATATTGACCTAGACAAGAGTCTTTTATTTGTATATTACATTTCATGTTATTGTAAAATACCGATTATAACACTGGGTTTGTGATTTATTTCACAACATGAGCTTTTAAGAAATTAATAAAATAAACTTTTTTATGTTGTACGTATACTTGTCAACATTGCCACTTTATTCAGATCTAAATTTAGAAACATGACATCAGACATGTGTATAACTGAGGTTTGTTTGTGTTTAAGTTGAGGTATAAAGAGAAGATACACCCTTTAGCAGTCATGTGCATCCTAACAGCCACCGTATTCTGGTGCATGGCACTCTACTTTTTCTTCGCTCATCTAACGTCCTGGCAGGTATGTACTGATCATGATATAAGTAAGCTTGAGGCAGTTGTTCCTCATATCAGCTGTACTTGTCTAATATTTACCGTAAGGGTGGTGAATAAGGGTATAAGGATTTGTTTTTCTGTGATATTTAGAGGAAGGCCATTTCCATATTCTACTCCGTATCAACCTGAGACACCAATATCAGCCTGTCGGGCCCGAGGCCTGAGGGCTGAGTGATATACTGGTTGAGGGCTGATACAGAGTAGGATATAGAAATTGTCTTATGGCAGCCATCTTTCATTTTGACAGTTCAAGTTTTTTACCACTATTTCTCAAGGAGTTAACAGTAACCTTTATCGGAAAGGACATTCTCAAACCAAGCTGTATGGAATTTTAACTCTTTCACCCCTATGTAACTTTAGTAAACTCTACCATGCATTGATCTGGATGAGTCCATGTTGTTTTACAGTGGTGAAAGGGTAAATCAAAAGTTACTACAAGATAAATTTACTGTCGACAAGACTTTTAATCCAACAGATAAACAAAAAGAGTATCTTTGTCTCTCTGTAGCTGACTCCATCGCAGTCCAGAAAGGGAAACAAAAGCTGTATGTTACTAGATTTCTACGATGCCCATGACGTCTGGCATTTCCTGTCGGCCATTGCCATGTTTATGTCTTTTCTGGTAAGTAATAAACGGGACAGTTTGTACTCACCTAGCACCTTCATCCGAGGCTATGATGTCCGATTTATTGCAGAGTTCTCCCCAGAATGTTTTTTACACTGATATATATCATTTGCAACGGACGTTCAAGATGGGCACAGCACAGCACTGTAGCATATGCTCAACAATACCATATCAAATTTAGCAGGGAATGAGGCACACACCACCATGCAACTGCCAGGCTCCGTATCAGCTAAATGGCGTGGGGAGAACCCTGCATAGGAATGGGAAACAATATTGCAGCACCAGTGTATTGAAATATTTGTCTTGCAATTTATATATACAGTAGAGAACACTTATAGCTGTGACGCAACATGAAGTCTTTATCATAACCTTGGACAGCATGAGAAAGTCATATGGAACAACTGTTGCTCCCTGCCATTTTATTTCTGCTTAGTGAACAGGCAAAACAATTTTTTCCAGTTAACACACACGTCACCCATCTGTTGTAGGTTCTATTGACCTTGGACGATGACCTCTTCTCCACGCGCAGAGACAGGATCACCGTGTTTTGAGATGACATCACAGCAACATCTGATGATGTCATCATTCTACCACAAAGTGCTATATATACTCGACGAATTACTCGACGAAATGCCGGGAAACGTTCGCCCAGTCACATTTCACCCTTAACTGGTAGAATCCATTTTTTTGCAGATGGAATTTCATCATTAACATGTTATTCCTATGTATAGCATGTTGTGTAGTTATTTTCAGTGGTGTGATAATTCACCCTCATTACGGATGGCGAAAAATTAAAAGCGACAAAAATTTCCCGGTAGACAGTACTATGTATGATCCAGCCAATACCTTAAATATCATGATAATAATATTTTTGTATGTCACAAACTATCTGTGTTTAACACAGAAATTTAACTCATTTGTTCACAAAGTGACAAAGGTAGTTTCAGTTAAGTTATTGACATTTTGTCCTTCAACAAATTTGTCCTGGCATTATTATCATGCCGATATTCTACAAGAGGGTGTAAAATTTGTTCAGAGTTCAGGTGACCTTGACTTGCTTTCTAGTTAACTGCAGCCAAATTTTTAAAACAGTTTTCAACAATTTTCTTCTAAAGATTGTTCAGAGTAATGATATTCACCCTATTTTAGGTTTTTGAAATGAAGGGCAATCATTTTTTTTTAATCAAATGACTTTGACCTACTTTGAAGGTCACAGAGGTCAAATGTACAGAAATCTTTAATTGAATCCCTGTAAAATTTCAAAAGTTTTGTGTAATAATAAGTTTCCTATGGCTCTGATGATCATGATCAAATTTGTTTCAATAAAATAACTTAAACTATTTTCGAGGATACAGGGGTCAAATACAGTCAAACTTTGATTTTTTAACTTTGTGTGACCATCTGGAAAAATTTGAATCATTGGGACTTTGACTCATGAATGTTGAACAACAAATTAAATGTCATACCTTGTTTAAGTGATTTTGAGACGTGAAAAACAAATTATATGGCAACCAGTTATATATTTTTTTAAACTCACAAGTATGTTTACAACATATTCTATAAAAATAAACACGAGTCGTTAATGTCATTTTCTTTGACATATGCTTACGTTTACATTTCAATGCAATTTACAGATAATTTGTTTCAGTTTGATTTATAAGTTGTAATTTTCAATGTTTTCAGAACGATTGGACCTGGATTATGCTTTGAAACAGCGAAAAATTTGACCAATAAAAGTTTGATTAATGAATAGAACGTTAGTAGTGTTATATAATGGAAAAAATCGGGAATTTGCTATAAATTTGACACGACGAAAAATTTGAATCTTTAAAGTTTGATTTATAGAAGTTTGACCGTATGCCAAAATATTTTAAAGATTCGTTAAGTTAAGAGTAATGATAATTTGCCCTGTGTCTTTTTTACCTATTTGTGAAAAAGACTGTAAAAATAGCATTGTCATCACGGTCATCCTAAAATATGTCTGCAGTGTATAAATTGTATTCCAGACAAATTTGTCCTACAGCTTAACATTGTGTTGACAAGATACTCAGTGATTACCTTAGCTATCACAAAACTTTGTAAATTTTGTGTATTAACGCTGTATCATTCCAAACAGCCATTTATATCAGCGTTTTGTATAAATACAAAGATGGCATTAGGTTATCATATGACCATTTCCATATCCTACTCTGTATAAGCCCAAGGGTCTGGAGGCTCGAGGGCTAATATTGGTCGAGGGCTGATATTGAGTAGGATATGGAGTAGAACATTACAACTCAATTGTATGATAATAAATATTAAGTTTTGTTGGAAAGGGAATCGCTCAAGTGTGAACTCCTTATGCATTTATCAGAACAATTGAGAGATTTTTCAATATTCTCTTACACATTTAGTGATAATAAATGTCAAATTTGTTAACAAAATATTGAATTTCAAATGCATTCTCATGACATTGAATTATAAAAATAAAAATACATTATTTTTTTTTCAACTTAAAATCATATTGATGTTGATCTATATTTAGATTTTGGTCAAATTGATCAAGTATTATTGGAAAAAAATAATCGTTTATAAACCTGTATGTCTAATTCAAGTTGCCATACCTGGGTCCCGTTGTTTAAAGCCAAACTAGCATAAGGACTTAACACAAAATTTTGAAACAGTATTTTTTTTATTTGATTTTAATTATCAGATACAGATACAAAAAAATGATCTGTAAACTTTTAAATTCAGCGTTCTAAAAAAAATTGTGTTCCAAATTTTTTTGTTATTGACTCGTTAAGGTTGATCAACCGGACCCAGAACATTACAAATGGGAATGACATTTATGTAAGTTGTGAATATAAATACATTCCATTATATACATATATATTGTACCAAAGTATCTGTGATATGTTCGCTTGGCCCAAAATAGTTTATAACTATTATTTTACCTTCTCAGAATGCTTGGTTTGATCATCATTGGTAACGTTGTAGAACAATTCTATATGTGCTTGTTGTAACTGTAAAGACACCTTTTTGTTTCCATGAATCTTTTAGCTCCTGTTAGATTTTGTTCAAGTTCAAGTATTTATTACAGTTGAAAATTAAAGTATGGGTGAGCAGGCATAAACAATGGTTATACACATACTCATTTTCAAATAAGGATGAAGAATTATTATGTATCCCCTTCGATTAAAGGGAGACATATTGTGTTAGTACTGGTTCTTCTGGTGCTGGTTAAATATATCTTGATGCAACTTCAAGTATACCTGCATCACCCATAGACGATGTGCAGTGCACTATCATTAGTTCATTGTGACCTAGACCCCAAGGTCAACAGTCAAATATGTGCAAATTGTTCAGGAACATCGATCTTGTCCATACTGTAACTTCTAAACCATTAAAGAAATATTGATGAAACTTGCAGTAAAACTGCATCATCTACAGATTATGTGCAATGCAGTGTCTTTAGATCACTGCGGCCTTTACTTGAAGGTCAAGGTTAGAAAAAAAACCTGATTGTTTCAAACATTTAAAGGTGTACGCCAAGGTGATGCCAACGGCTGTGTCTAGTTTTGCTTAAACTTAGTATGCAAGTATATGATGGCATTGTAAACTCTATCCAAGCACCATTTGGGACTATGGAGTCAGTTTGAGGACATCTGTCCCCGTTACAATTAGAACTCCTTCATATATGCGTTTTATAATTTAGCAGTGGGCAGTTCCACTAATAATAAGGTCAAATAAGTGGTAAGTTAAAGAATTCCTGATAAAACTTGCAATATATCTGTATCACCCACAGACCATGTTCAGTGCACTGTCCTTAGGTCACTTTGACCTTGACCTTGAGGTTAAAGGTCAAATAAGTGCAAAGTTTTAAGGAATATCTTGTCCCAATCTGATTAAAATCATCTGTTACATGGCTCCGCCTGAACATCTGCATGTGTTGCGGTCAGGGTCACATTCAAGTGACCTTTAGATGAACCAATCAGAGGCGCGCTGGCAAAAGTTTGCCAGCGAACCGGAATATCATGGTTGATAGATAAATAGCGAGGGGTATCGAACAGATTAGTTTTTCAAAACAAATATGGCGGCAGGAACTGACGTTTCTACGACGCCAAGGAAAACGTACCAATTGGGGAATAATTGCGTAGGCAACACCGCCATACAGTCTTTCTTCTCTAATAAAGCTTTGAATATCTTTTTCTGTTCTGGTTTCAGATTATTCAATCTCAAGTAACTTCAGAACTTTTGCATCATTCTCATCAATGTCCGCCATATTTGTTTCAACTCCGAGCGCCCTTTTGAAAGAGGGTTTCTGATTGGTCAAAACTTATTGAGTATTTATAAATATAAAGGTCACCTGAACGTGACCCTGACCGCGGCACACTCAGATGTTCAGGCGTAGTACGAAGTTAACGAAGCCATGTAACATATGATTTTAATCAGATTGATCTTGTCCAGGCCATAACTTTTAAACATTTGAAGGTGCAAAAAATCACCTCGAGTTAACATTTGTAAAAAAAAAAACATTTAGGAAATTTAAACCTTTTGGGGTTTTTTCATACTCGTATAAGAATCTGACTGCAAGTTTGTATGATGTTTATCTGTTTAGTGTTTCGATTTGTGTACATGTCATAATAACCTTCCAGTACAAAGTAGTGAGATTATCAAAACTTCCAGTGTGTTTTGACCAAATATTGTAGGAATGTTTTTTGGAGTCAGTGGGAAGTCTGTCAGCCATAGTTAAGATTTAAATCTGGAGTAAAAATGTATATATATAATTGTATTATTTTTTCTATAACCTATGTTCACTTTGTTTGACCCAACCAGGGAGTTTCATGATTATTTTTACTTATTCGACCCTGAAGTTTCGTAATGAACGATTCCAACCTTTGAATTGGAAGAGTTCAAATGTGTCTTCAGGGGTGAATGAGTTAAAAGATTATAAAGAAGGTTTAAATGTGACACATTTGTATTAATTGTTTGGTTTAGCATTGTTTAACCTCCTATCAACAGCTATGGTCATTTAAGGACGGCCTCTCCTGTGTGCAAGACGCATGCGTGTGTGTTTTGGGAGGCTGAACTATGTTCGTGTTTGTCTCCTTGTGAATAAATCACAATACCTTCATTATGATTCCATTGCATTTATTGTTTTCCGAAATTGAAGAAAATATAAAAACCATCGATGAATTACTGGAGAGTTTTCTCATTTCATGTCAATAGATTTTTATCTGTTCAAACAAATGATGAAAGAAACACCTGTTGAGTTCATGGGGAATAAAATTCCTCTGGTATATATGTAGATACTGTAATATCATATTTCTATATTATTGAAAAATAATCTTTAAACACAGAAAACAAAGCATTTTCTCTCTTACATCTACTTGTTTTTGTAATAGTGTTACTCCAAGTGTGTACTTCAAGGTTTGGTCTCTTTTATTTTGAAATAAATTACTAATATTTCTATACGGAGTGTTACTTTGACCATCACCAGTAAGTCTGACCCGTAGGCTACATTATAAGCATGTACAATAAAACATCTTTAAACTGCCACCATTTGTTCAGAGAAATTTTATCGTTATAAAAGGGTTTGGTGATAAATAGGAGAAATGTATAAAGTAATTATTATATAATGAATACAGTAAAACCTTGTTATACTGCCACCTTTTGTCCAGATAAATGTTTTCGTTATAAAGAGATTTGGTGATAAATTGAGTGAAATGTATAAAGGAGTTTTTTTTAAGAAAACAAGAAAAAGGGACGTGGAAACATGTTGGCGGTTAACGATGTGACAAATGAAACGAGGGGCATTATATCGTGGTTTTACTGTAGTTGATTTTGATTAACTGTAGTTGTTTTTGAAAAGTTGAAAAAGTTTCTCTGTTTCTGACTTGCAGATGACAAAGTACAACCATTCATGTAGATGTAGCTCATGATGATACAAAACACATATAGTTTGAACAAGAAATAGTGTTATGAGCAATCCATTGTAACCAACATTTGGAAAAAAACACAGTATGAAAAAAAAAAGGGGGCATTCACTCTGTTTATTTTCAGGCTCGAGACTGTCAAAAGCGACATTCTGCTATCCAGATCTGTACTCCCATACAAAATTTAGCAATTGTAAGAGACAGAGGGTCCCTAAACAAAATGGCGCAAATCTATTTTAAGTACCCATCGGTAATATCGTTTAGGAAATATTTTTTCGGAATGAAAGATACACAGATAGAAGACTATACTGAATTGAAAAAATCTGAAAATGAAAAAAAAATTAAAAAAAAGAAATAATCTCAATAACAAAATTTGCATACACATGATTATTTTTTGTCTTTTCCTGTTTAAAAAGGAAACAAATTAATATTACATTAATTTATATATTTCATTTCAAACAAGTAAAGCAAGAGACGACAACCTTGTCTGACTCCTCATGTGAGATATTGTCTGAAGTACACAGTGTCTGTAGGCTACCATTTTGCAGCAAGCTCACTAACATTTATGTTGGATATCCCTCATTGATTACTGTCTTACATGTTGCTCTGATATCTTAGTAAGTCTGACAAATCTGAAGCGATGGTAGATGTTTGCTTCAGTCTTGGTTGCAAAACCAGATTGAAAGATCTATCTCAAGGGTCTTGGAGTTCACATGCGACATGTGTTTCTAACTCACCAGAAACTGACTGCTGATAATTACTTTTATCTGAAGAAAGTAAAATATGCGGAAAAGGTTACCTGAAGACTAATGGCATCTTGAGTTTGGTGAACCTAATGATGCAAGCACTCCACATGACATGGAAAATGATGTCAATAACGCTTACACAAAGTTTATGTCAACCAGCCAGCTACCTATAATCCCCATGTAACTTTAGTAGACTCTACCATGCATTGATCTGGATGAGTCCATTGTGGTCTACAGTGGTGAAAGGGTTAAAGACCGATCAGGTCAGATGATAAATGACTCCTTGGACTTAAGTCATGTCCTGTCGTCATTTAGCCTTACCATGGCCAGTGCAGGCTCTGATATCGACCATCTTGGTGAAGAGGAATGTAAAACAAGGTTGGAGTATGTGCTGAGGAACAGTTACAGCATTTGTTCCTCTACATCAATAGAGGATCAGTTCCTCTACATTCCATGCCTTGTTTCTGTTATGGATGATTTAGACGACTTACATTTCATTGTCTGAACTTGGTATCTTGTGTGGTCTTATAAAGAAACAATATGTGTGTCAAACAATCCATAACGTATTACAGGCTTTGAGTCAGACAGTTGTGGCTTGGTTCCTGGGTCCAAGACTTATTAGTGGTGAGGTGTGTCAAAGGTCACACCACCGTGTTTACTTAGGGATGAAGGGCTGACGAGTTTGTTCAAAGAAATGGCCTTCGCCGATATTCAAAGGTCACATGGGTCAGTTGTCTTAAAAACACTTCTTCTGATTAACTTAAAGGTCTAGAGTGATGATATTTTGGCAA